TCATGCAAAATGCCATTGTTGTTCCCATACCAACACCTGGACGGGACCATTCTGATTCCTCAAATTACCGACCTATATCTCTCACTAGCTGTGTTTGTAAAACTATGGAACGCATGGTTAATAATTGATTAGTATGGTACTTGGAAACAAATAATCTCATTACCAATGTACAATGCGGTTTCCGGAAAAACAGAAGTACTATCGATCATTTGGTGCGTTTAGAATCGTTCATTAAAAATTCCATTGTAAATAAACAACATGCTGTATCGATCTTTTTCGACTTAGAAAAAGCTTACGATAGAACATGGAAACATGGTATTTTAAAAGATCTTCATGATTTTGGATTAAGAGGCCATCTGCCTTATATCCCAGTTTTTAACAGACAGGCAATTTCAAGTCCGAGTGGGTACAACCCTGTCTGATCATTATAATCAGGATCAGGGTGTCCCACAAGGCAGTATTTTGTCTGTCACTTTATTCAGTATAAAAATTAACAGTTTGTCAAAAGTTTTAAATGATTCAGTTGATGGATCACTTTTTGTGGAGGATTTTATTATATCTTGTCGTGGTAAAAATATGCACACAATAGAAAGGCAATTGCAATTATGTTTCAATAAAATTCACAAGTGGTGTCTAGAGAACGGGTTTAAATTTTCCAAATCAAAAACTAACTGCATACATTTTTGCAGGAAATATAAACCGCATAAGGACCCTGAGCTATTTCTAAATGGTGCTCCTATCAAAGTGGTGATGGAGGCAAAGTTCTTGGGACTTATTTTTGATAACCATTTAACATTCCTACCACATATTAAATACCTAAAAGCTAAATGTCTGAAGGCACTCGACATATTGAAGGTAGTTTCAAATTCAAAGTGGGGAGGAGATCAAACAACCCTCTTACACTTATACAGGTCACTGATCCGTACAAAACTTGATTATGGCGGAGCCTGCAAAAGTAATTTACAAAAACTAGATACTATACATCATCAGGGCCTGAGGCTTTGCCTTGGAGCCTTTAGAACGTCTCCCATTCACAGTCTATATATAGAAGCAGATGAGCCTTCTCTTAAACAACGCCGTCTAAAATTATCTTTACAATACATCACCAAATTATGCTCTGATCAGTCAAATCCAGCTTTTGAATGCATATTCAATCCTCTCCACGAAGATCTCTACAATAAGAAATCAACACTCACTCCACCATTCTGCAATATGAGCTTCTAATATCAAACTCCAAGATATAGCTCCTACTCAACTTTTCTCATCTCCTCCTTGGCAAATGGTCAAGCCAGAGGTAGACCTTACATTAACAAAACTAAAGAAATCAGATACTAACCAATTAATTTACCAACAAGAATACCATCAACTAAGAAACACTTACGACATTTATAAATCTATATTTACAGATGGATCCAAGGATGGTGGCGCAGTTGCTGGTGCCACTGTCATTGGATCCAGAACACTATCTTCACGATTACCTGATAATAGTTCAATCTTCACAGCATATTTTAACAGCTCTAAAATATGTCAAGAACCAATCAAAATATAAACAATTCATTATTTTTTTAGATTCACTCTCGTGCCTTCAGGCTATTAAAAATATGTCTTGTAAACATCCATTTATAATTGAAATTCTTGAGTTATTTAATGATCTAGCTACTTGCCAATATGACATCGTCTTTTGTTGGTTACCAAGCCATGTTGGGATTGTTGGTAACACAATGGCTGATGCTGCTGCTAAGGCAGCACTCAACAAATCTGCGACACCACTTCTTATGCCCTATAGTGATTATAAACCTGTTATTAGATGTTTCATCAGAGATCTAACGCAGAAGAAGTGGGACAGCCAAGTGGATATAAATAAATTACATGCAATAAAAGCAAATATCGGTTATACCTACTTGGGTTGTCAGTCCAGATTTGAAGAGGTCATTTTAAGACGATGTCGTATTGGCCATTCACGTTATACTCATGAATATATTTTAAAAGGTGGGGATCCTCCATTCTGCATCCCTTGTGATGAAGGAATCAAGGTCAAGCATGTCCTGCTTGACTGTGTTGATTTTTCCATCACAAGGGATAAGTATTTCAAAGTTTCAACTATGAAGGACCTTTTAACACAGGTAAGTACTCATTTTCTTCTTGAATTTTTAAAGGAAATTGAATTAATTCATAAATTTTGATTGTTATGTTATGTAAATAAATACATTCATTTTATAATTGGTTGAATCAATCAATAACTGAGATTGTTAGTGGCTATATCCTCGAAGGGGGTTAAAGTAGTGTAAAATTATTGTCCCCCTGAGAGGGTATGTAAGATCACATCTTTCAAAGTATATTTATTTCAGCCACGTTTGTATTCGTAGTATATATGTTCGTCCCCATGGACCCTAGTGTGGTGATCTACCTTCAGTGGTTGGCGATCAATAGCCCGTTTGTATTATGTATTGTGCATTGTTCATCTTTTTATTGTTCCATGCTAGTTTTATATTCACATCTGTGATATTCTAGTTTGTTTTACTGTCCTTCGTTGACAGGTTTTTATATTGTCAAAATGTCTTTATTTTTATGTATAAATTGATCTCGTCACTATATGGCTGAAATATTGCCGATGTGACGATAAATCTTAACTCACTCACTCACTTGACCGGATATGGAATGACCAAATGAAGGATTCTGGGATCACATTTACCTATGCATGACAGTATTACTGAATCCGTGTCGAATTTAAAATATATTATTTAGAAATTGTAATGCCATGTTCAGGTAGCATTTGCTGTTACGTGTGTAAAGTCGGACACGAAGTCACTGAAACTTGCAAATAGCAATATCAACAGTTCAGTGTACCCACGTGTTATATGGGTCTACAGACATCGCTGTATACATTCAATCTCTGCTAAAAGTAGAGTCGATTGTATGATTCCAACTATATCATGAGTATTTAATTATGAATCACTATCAAAACGAGAAGAAATCAGGTGTTAGCGAAAAGTTGAGCGTATTTTGCATCTGTAAATTTTATCCGTATTTTGCGTATTTGTGGCATCTTCAATAAACACATGCAAAGGAAAGTCAATTGTTCACAGAAACAAAAACACGGAAACACATGGTACAAGTCAAACGGTGTGAAATTCGAAACATGTTTAAACGAGTTCAAATTCGAAACAGGTATAAACTTAAAATCTAAACATGTTTTGACGTGTTTAAATTCTGAACATGTTTAGATTATTTGGATGTTGTGTTGAGGCTAAGAAACGATAGCTCATTTCATGCGTTTAGACCTAAATGCGTTTTGATAATATTATGTGGCAGTGTAATTTATTGTTAAACTATGAGTGTTACTGCATTACATTGTCATTATAATTGCAGTGCAGACATGCGTATTGATTTGTAAACCTAGTTCATTTTGTGATGCAATTGTTAACTGTATATCATTTGTTGGTTGTTTGTTCACACTAAGCTCTTTACTAACAACTTTCTGGGTAAACGTATTCTTTGAATTTGGGAATCAATACAACAATAGGACACAACACACCTAATCATGTTTACATTTTTACAGCGTACCTGATCCATGACATGGCAGTAGACTTGCTGCACGGAACCGCGCCTTTATCTCCACATTCACATTCACATTCAACATGGTCTCAGATCGATAAGACTGAACGTCTATGATGTAAGTTCTTTCAGAAGATCATATCTTTCCTGACTTATGTCTCAGTACTAGAGGGGCGGTCTGGTAGCCTAGTGGTTAAAGCGTTCGCTCGTCACGCCGAAGACCCGGGTCCGATTCCCGACATGGGTACAATGTGTGAAGCCCTTTTCTGGTGTCCCCCGCCGTGATATTGCTGGAATATTGCTAAAGGCGGCGTAAAACCATTCTCACTCACTCTCAGTACTAGTCCTTATACACACGTGTGTTTACTGGCTGTGTTTTAAGGTAACCCCTTTGCATGGGCAGGCTTCACTGTCCTGGGTCATTGTGATCTGTATCTCGTCAACACTGGCTTATGTTCTAGGCTACTTCACTACTGTTGTGGTGTTGAAAGTAAATGTATATGAACATGTACCACTCTTCAAAACTCACTGCTAAATATGTACAGTTCTGCAAACACACGGCGGTACTTCCGAAACACTTTAATTCGGTTCGCACGAGCCGCCATATATCTGGAATATTGCTGACTGCGGCGTTAAGCAACAAACAAACAAACAAATAATTCGGTACGCTTGTGGAATTACCGCAGTAAGTATGCAGAATTTCCGTATTGTACTGGTCTGATAAGTCGCTAAAAAGCGAAGTGGATACATTGAATTAATTTCAATAAGATATTAGCTAAATTTCATAGTTCCATCACATGTACAAAGTGACATTGCCTCTAACACATGATTCGTATCACAAGAGGCACAAAAACCGCCCACCTATGGTAGGGCACCCTCGCACACCCTCTCGCACCCTCTCGCACTCACGCGCCTGGGGCCCACCCTGCCCAGAGATACAAACTTTGCTGAAACACGCCAGGGTCGGTCACATGTGTTGGCGAGAAGGTAAGCGTATCCTGCCCCACCGATGGCACCATAACAAACACATTAAAGGCGCGCCAATTGTTCACCTGAAAAAATACGGGAAAATATGGTACAAGTCAAAAAAGGGAATTCGTACATCCTTTATGGCACTGATGCGTCAAACCCCACGGAAAATGGGCAGCCTCGCGTTGAAGACATTCACTCGTCACACAGAGTTCCCGTTCCCCAGTTTATAACATTTGTGAAGCCTATTCTTCTTGTGTCCCACGTTAAAAGAAATATAAAGCGTCAAAATGAACGTCCTGCACATAGTTGTTTAACTAACGATTACGAATCACATGTTGCAATACGGGCAAATGGCAGAGTTCCGAGTGCAATAAATGTGACATAGATGTTGGTGTTGGAAGGATGTGTGTTATGTAGCCAGGCATTGTTGAACGGAACATCGCCTTTTTTAGCATTACCCGTTAATGTCACAGCGGTAATATCAACCCGTGTGGCTGTGACAGCTAGATTGTTCAGGTCGCGACAGCTTCAGCCTTGTAAGCCAGACCGGAATCTCGCCGAGTGTACTGGCTCTCGCGTGACGCTTGTGCGCTTCAGGTACAGTTGACATCCAAAATGGCGGCGCAGTTCGACATTACAAAACTGATGCAGTAAGTGATCTTTCATCCAATATATGCTGTGTGCTGCTTTTTAACATCGTTAGTACCACTTGCTGACCTTCCGCATTATATTGCACAGAGTACTCGGTAGTCATTGTAGACTAATACGTGTCTTAAATTGATATACCGCCTCCGTGGTCTGGTGGTAGAGCGTCCGCCCGGACAGCGGGGTTCGATCCCCGACCGCGGCATACACAAAGACGTTAAAAGATGGTACTTGTTGTTACCCTGTCTGGCGCTCGGCATTAAGGTGTTAAAGCAAAGACTGGTCGGCTCGGAGTCAGTATACTGTGTCTGAGGTGGGTATTCATGTTAAACTGCGGCATGGTATCTCAGTGAGCTTGCACTATAAATCGGCATCAGTCCTGTCTAGTACAAGCAGCCATACACACACACACACGTGCACACACGTCGCTATATAAGTGCAATAATCTTGGACGCGACGTTAAACCCAATTTCACCTCACCTCAAAATTGAGTTACGCCCTTTACAAATCGGTTGGTCATGGGTTCAAATCCCCTATTCGGATTTGGCTATTCTGCAGAGTCATTACTTTACTGGTGCACAGAGATTCTCCAAAGGGAACGTCCAAGACCTGTATCACTCGTGGATCACTACAAACAGTATGTGAAAGTGAGTGAGTTGGGTTTAACGCCGCTTTTGACAGTATTCCATTTATATCACGGCGTGTCAGCTTAATGTGGGAGGAAAGCCCGAAGTGATGCCGGTCTCAGACGTTTACCACTTGAAACCCACGAGCACGGGTATGGTGCTGACAAACCTAGAAAAATAATCGGGGCGAACCGGGATTCGAACCTACAATCATAGGTTTCTGGCGTGTCCAAGGGACGCAACTCCGCACAGCGAATCGCGGCGCCTTAGGCGACTGGGTCAGCCGCGCCCCCGTTAAGTGAAAGACTGCTGTAAACAGACACACTCACACAATATTGCATGTCCCTGTGTTTTATCCGTTTTATAATCGTCACGGTTTACCCCATAGAATATATAATAACACAAATTATGAAGTATGTTCTCATTGTTTTAAATTACAATTTCTCCTCTAATAACATTGACAAAAATGCCATATTCCAATATAACGAAGTCGGGTGTGTTGTGAAATCAAACTTCAAGATATGTCCGTGTCTCGATAACGTTCAAGAGGAGTTAAAAACAATTGGAGCAATCAATTCATAGTCAAGTACCCTGATTCATTGTCAACCTACAGTGGACCCATGAAGATCCGGGGTAAAATAGGTCTTCAGCAACCCATGCTCGCCTTAAAAGGCGACTATGCTTGTCGTAAGAGGCAACTAACGGGATCTGGTGATCAGGCTCGCTGACTTGGTTGATACATGACATCGTATCCCAATTGCGTGGATCGATGCTAATGATGTCAATGACTGGATTGTCTGGTTCAGACTCGATTATTTACAGAGCGCCGTCATATAGCTGGAATATTGCTGAGTGCGGCGTTAAACAACAAACAAGCAAAACAAAATTCAAACTACAGAGATCAGATCAGGTATCGATGAAGTTGGGCGTCACTTTACAGTTCAACCTGGAACTATGATACCGCTGTCTCTGACCCGTCTCAAACCGCACTAAACGGTTTTGATTTAATGGGTGATTGGGTTTGATTGGGTAGTCGAAACAAATACGTAGTATGGCAATAGTTTTGGATTTGTTTCTGACATGTTATATTGGGGCATATTAAATCCTAAGACAATTAAAATTGTAAAATGAAGAATAATCTGTCTCTAAATAAGGGTTTGTCCCGGGATGATCCGTGTTCAGCAACTCGTTCTTGAGGTGAGTAACTTGGTTGATGCAAGTCTCCGTATCCCATGTGCGTATACCGATCCTCATGATGTCAGTCACTGCGTCAGGACCGATGTCATATAGCGTTAAACAACAAACAAACAAACAAATTAGTTTCATAGTGGCCAAATATAAACATAGGATTTGCTTAAGATGTATTGCCATTTTCTTTTTGTCATCGTATCTATTTAAGTTAGGATATTTGGGGAAAACAACATCCTTTTGTGTATATTTTGACTGGTCGGTGGAATCAGGAAACGCGTGGGAGACACGGCAGTCGTAGACCTGAGATAGCATGGCGAAATTGTACCCCAGACTCAAGACGACTGGGCAACCCGTACCCCCTAAGTACGTACACCAAGGACGGCAGAAACAAGCAGGAAGACGGTGCAATGAACACGTGAAACCCCGTGGCGTTATGCTGGGTCGTAAATGCAGCACATTATTCAAACGTAATTAAGGGGACACGGGTGGCCCAGTCGTCTAAGGCGCCACAATTTGCTGTGCAGAGTTGCGTCCCCTGGGCACACCAGAAACCTATGATTGTGGTTTCGAATCCCGGTTCGCCCCGATTATGTTTCTAGGTTTGTCAGCACCATACCCGTGCTCGTGGGTTTCACCGAATTGGTAAACGTCTGAGACCTGCATCTCTTCGGGATTTCCTTCCACATTAAGCTGACACGCCGCGATATAACTGGAATACTGTTAAAAGCGGCGTTAAACAAAACTCACTCACTCACTCAAACGTAATTAGGTAATTTACGTTTGAATAGAATACCCTTGTATTTGGTACATAGTATGTTGGTAAACAACTGCGTCATTTCCCGTTTATTACTTTAATAATTGTCATCCCATTGGGAAATACAATACACTGTTCATGGATCACTGCAAGTAGGAAAGAAATGATGCACAGGGAAACTATATCGTTATCATAAATATCTTGGATGCTTTTCAGAACGATCCCAGGCCTGGATGTACCTAACCTTAAGAACTCCAAAGGACACGGCTTCAACTGTTTCCTGTATGATGGCCTGTTTCTATTTGCACCGCCCACACTCTTATTGAAAGGGAAGAGTCCTATTGCAGGTTTACAAAGTATAAAAGAGGCTGCAATGAAAGACGATGATGTCATTATCTGCGCCTATCCAAAATGTGGTAGGTACAAGATTCCTTAACAGATATAATTACAATGGATTAACCTTCTTGTTGAAAAGGATTATCTCCAAATTTTGGTTTATACTTTTTAAGGTACTCATTGGTTATGGGAGGTCATTGAGATGCTCAAAAGTGGGGTCATTGAGTACAGAAAGGAGACAAAAGAAACCCGGATGATTGAAATAATCTACAAAGATGGAATAGACGCCATTCCTACACCTCGAGTCCTGAACACCCACCTCCCTCTGCGCATGCTCCCTAAACAGGTCGTTGAGAAGAAGGTCAAGTGTATCCAGATCATGCGCAATCCTAAAGATGTCTGTGTGTCCTATTTCAACCACTACAGAAATATGGTACCACCTCTTGGGTATGAAGGGGACTTTGCTGAGTTTACAGAAGCATTTGTAACAGGCAAACGTACGTATGTGTCTTCCGTTACCTATGTTGATTCAATGGAGGCGTGGTTAGTGAGACTTACGTATCAGTATTTCTGTCCTGCAACATGTTTGTGCTTTTATGCTTTCGCCTGTTCTAAATATGTTGATATAAAGAAAGCTTTCTGGCTGAGAGCATCCACCCGGAGATCAGAAGGTTGGTGGTTCGATCCCCGGCTGCCTCATACCAAAGGACGTAAAAAGATGGTACTTGTTGTTACCCTGCCTGGCACTCGGCATTAAGGGGATAAAACAAGGACTGGTCGGCTCTGAGTCAGCATAGTGTCTGAGAGGGGTATCCATGTGAAACTGCGGCATGGTATCTCAGTGGGCTAGCACTATATAACGACTTGTACAAGTAGCCACGCACACACACACACACACACGCACGCACGCACGCACGCACGCAAACAAACACACACACACACACGTTCATGCGCGTCGTTGTGTAAGTGCAATAATCTTGAACGCGACTTTAAGTTTCTCATCTTACCTTACGCTGACACGCTGTCATATAACTGAAATATTGTTCAGAACGTCGATATTCCCAACGCACTCGCTCAGTATATCCGGCTCAACAACTTGACAATGGGTGTGAGAATAGCTGCAAATTAAATTAACATATTAAGTTATCATTTACCTGTTACAGTGTGTTTCGGGTCTTACTACAACTATCTGTTAACATGGAAGGCAGAACTGGCAGGATCACCAGCGGTACCTGTGCTCGATCTGGTTTATGAAGACATGAAACATGTGGGTGATGGTTTGTACAGTCGTCTGTCGTTATGTTGACGCTGTTTAACTTCAATGAGTGTAGCATGTTTCTAGTATGCGTCGTTGTGTTGACGCTGTTTAACTGAAGTCTCCGACGTATCGATTTATTACTATATATTGATCAGATCCTCTTCAATGAGCGCCTCCATTTTGTTTGAAGCAAATGCAAGTGATATGAAAGATGGAATCTGATTGGTCAATAGGATCGACATAGAAGGGACATAACTCGCAATAGCCACTGGGGGCGCTACGATCGTGCGTGGAAATTCCAGCGTAATTCGGCAAGGGTAGAAACAAAACATAACTTTTTTACTTAAAAAACATCTTTCAGTTGAGATGGATTGCATATGCGGAGGCCATGGAGATATAGGTGTAATATTCATTTATTTTCTATTTGTATAATGATCGGTTTTAATACATTACATACACGTCCACATATCTGCCTCCAGGATCCTGTCAAGAGTGTTAAAGACGTCGCCAGATTTCTAGGCTTGACAACGACAGACCAGTTCTGTGAAGACGTTGCGTTTGCTTGTTCCTTTAAAAAGATGAAACAGATTGACAAAGACAGGAAACTTGGAACTGCTATTGACATCTGGAGAGAAGGATCAGAAGGAACATTTTATAGGAAAGGTGGGTTCTGCTGACTGGGCTATATTCTGCAACCATCTACCTAACAGAAACGACTATGGTCAGAAATACATTACAAAGACCTGCCAAATAAGGGATGAAAATCTTTCTCATTGCCCAGTGTCAAAGCTGGTTCTTGACCCTTTATCAAAAATACATTACCTAGTGTCGGCTTCAGCTATTTGAATATAAACGTTGGTCAGCATTGTCTTGAATCATATAGATATTATTATTCATTAGAATTAAAATGTTTTGAACACTAAATTGAAGATTTTCATTCGTCAATTTTGTATTATATGAACATTTTCCATACACCACAATCTACAGCAAACCAATGTTAATCAAAGCAATCCATAATATTTTAAAATATTTTTGGAAAGTTCAAACGAACGAAGAGGTTCAGGATGAGCGTTCATTCAACGTTCTTACCAAGCTTGTAAGTGTAACATTTGTCACAATGCATCGGAACAGTTCAAGAATTAGTGAAATTTTATCTTTAATGATTTTTGTCTCCAAGGAGATATAATATTTTTGGCTCAGTTGCCGTTGCCGTTGGCGTTAGCGTTTGCATTGTCGTTGGCGTTAGCGTCGGCGTTCCAATCCTATTCCGAGCCATAATCTTCATTCAATGTTTTACAATGAAACTTTGCATATGCATTCCTCATCAGCCTTTCGCTATTTTGAATATCTAATCTATTTTACTTTGTTAACTTTCACGGAAACTTATTTGGACAGTCTCAAACAACTCTAGGCTTCGTTACCGAGCCGTTACACTCAAACTAATGAATGTTTTTGCATAAAACTAGACATGTGAAATGAACACATGCTCAACTATAGCCTTTTCTGATTATTTTCATTTATTCTTTTTAATTTCTTGTGTTTCCATGAAAAAAATGGAAATTCTTAAGAGTCTTTCTACTAAGCATAAAACTGCTGGTTGTTCATTGTGGGTACATCTAACCTCACAATATAATCGGTCATCCAAACTGCTGTTACACGTTCAACAGTTTTATCTGCCATAAAGAGTCAAAATGGCATCAGCTGGCATTAATAACAATCTGTACCAGTATTTTTATGCTTTTATTGTTTTTCGGATTTGCAAACACATTTATTGTAACAACTTAAACTAATCCATTTAAAAGGAGGAGTAAAAACACATTCTTGTTGCGTTAATGCTTTTAATATAAAGATGAGTTAGGTCCACTTTTTGAGATCAATGAGTGAAAGTCATGTGAGCTTAGGTCGTGGCTAGTTTGACGGTTGTTGGTCGTTTGCAACGGCGGGCATATTGGAAAATATATTTATGGCCAATACGCGGTCATCTTTTTTCAAAATGTAATGGCATTTGAGATGTGTGAGTGAGTGAGTGAGTGAGTTGTTTTTTACGCCGCTTTTAACAGTATTCCAGTTATATCGCGGCGTGTCAGCTTGATGTGGGATGAAAGAGATAAGAAGTTAACAGTAGTGCGATATCTTATGTTTTTGCTTGTATTTGGCCATGCTCTTAATTCTCCTGTATGTTCTCCTTGTTAAGTGGCTGTATTTGAGTGGATGTCTTTTGTGGAGTAACAATGCTCCTTGGTCAACTTCGTTAAGTGTTGATTAAAAATTACATGTTATAAATACACTTTTCTGATCTAGGTGAAATTGGTGACTGGAAAAATTGGTTCACAGTGGCAGAGAGCGAGAGATTTGACCAAATGTGGAACAAGAAGATGAAGGACTCTGGATTTAAGTTTACCTACACACCTGTTTGAGATCATTCCAACGTTTTGGCTGTCGGATTTTTTGTGAAATCTGTGAAATAACAGTCAATTGTATAAATCTCAAGTAATACATCTTCGTGTACATGTATATATGCGGAAACCTTTTTGTCATTAGATAGCTTCAGTTTTAGCACTTTTCTGTCCAAATAATAAATCGATATAAGAGACAAAATCCATTTCACAATTTAAGAAATCTGTGCTAAAATTAGAGTCTATTGTATGACACAGAAAGCGCTCGTTAAATCTTCACGACAAGCGTCTTCACCATTATTCATTCAGTAAAGGAACATAACTGGTAGTTCCAATGGTGTGTTACGGTGTCAGGTGGTGGCATATATCATTAGAATTAGGAAATTAATTTGTTACACAATCTTACGTAATTTGTATTGGACGAGAACTTCTGAAAACTATCATTTATACTTGGATGAATGCACCAAAACCTTTATTGATGATTTGATAAGTGCACGTGTTGCTGTTTTTTTGGTTGACGTCGTCAGACAATAAAGAGCCGATTTCTTCGACATGTTTTCATACGAAATTTTTTATGAAAAGTTTCAGGATATTAATTCAATAAAACTGTTTTATATTTCAAATATTTGTTTCATTATTGTCATGTATTCATGTGCATGTCACGACGTTTATATCAAAACCAGAACTTATGCCACGAAACTGACGAAAATGGTTATAGTATGGCAAAATATTGCATAAAATAACTATTTTGTTATTGTTTTTCATGCATTAACTTGTTTAATGAGTGTAATACTTCGATGAATGCAAACAAAATAAAGCGACAAAACCGCTTCCATATCTGCATTAAGCAGAGTCGATTGTACGATTCCGACTGTATCATGAGCATGTGTTTCTGAATCCCAATCAAATGGTGATGATACCAGGTGTTCACGAAAAGGTGAGCGTATCCTGCTCCACGGGTGACACCTGTCACAAACACATGCAAAGGCAAGTCAATTGTTCACCAGAAATTTCACAGGAACATACGGTACAAATCAAAATAGGCAAGTCCATAGGACATCATTTATGTCATCCACATGTCTGCCGTAAAACGTTTTGAAGACGGGCCCGTGAAGATCCTGGGTAGAATAGGTCTTCAGCAACCCATGCTTGTCGTAAAAGGTGACTATGCTTGTCGTAAAAGGCGACTAACGGGATCGGGTTGTCAGGCTGGTTGATGCATGGCATCGATACCAACTGCGTGGATCGATGCTCCTGATGTCAATCACTAGATTGTCTCGTCCAGACTCGATTATTTACAGACCGCCGTCATAATGCTGGAATATTGCCGAGTTCGGCGTTAAACAACAAACAAACAAAAACAGGCTTTACGAGGGCCTTGTAACCTGTTGTAACCTAGATCTAACAACAAAGTTTTAATTCAATGGCCATGGCTGTCAAAACAGATGTTTTCGGTGGCAATGTTATTTATAAATTGCATGAACCCCGAGAAATCCATTATGTTCCCATGTCATGATATACTGGCGGCAATGAGCTTACTGGCACACCCTCGTTGCCAACGGAACATCTTGAAGTATTCTGCCGTTTTAAGCTGAAGACAAGTCGGCATTGTACGACACGAAAGCACGAGAGACGTTATAACTGATAATTATGTGGTCCTAGCATTGTGGTCAATATCTTTACTTCATAGTGTGTTCTGAAATGTTGATATCGAACGCATACAGTTCATGTGGGTTAACGGCAGTCATTTCTATCTGCATTGATGCGTGAGCTGGCAATAGATCGTTTTTTCCATACGCAAGGCGTTTGTGTAGCGTACAAAATATATGCCTCAGGGTAAGTTATAAGAAGTCGAATGAGTAAATATTTATTATTGCGCTGCAGTCATCAAAACTGAGCTTTATCATTGCGAGTCCTGTCGTCTAGTTTATGACAGGAATTCGTTGATGGCAAACGCCATCAACGTTCCCCGTCGTCGGGATATTTGGAAACACACTCCATCAGCGAGCCTGACCACCCGACCCCTGTTTAAGTCATACTAGGAGCATACTACCCCAATTGACGATCGTAACTTCTGCGAAATGAGAGACAACTGTAAAATACCATCACTCACAAGTGTCATGTCTTAAACCAGATCGAGTACAGGTACTGCTGGTGATCTTGCCGACTCTGCTTTCCATGGTAACAGACAGTTGTAGTGAGTACCGTAACACACTGGAACAGGTAAATTAAAACTAGAGATGTTTAATAGTGAGTGAGTATGGTTTTACGCCGGTTTTAGCAATACTCTAGCAAATATCACGGCGGGGGACACCAGAAATGTACCCATGTCGGGAATCGAACCCGGCGTGACGAGCGAACGCTTTAACCACTAGGCTACCCGACCGCCCAGATGTTAGATAAGCCTGCTGACATTCTTACATCCATTGTCAAGTTGTTGGAGCTGGATAAATTGAGTGGGCGTGTTGAGAATAACGCTGTTTTGGACACTATTTCCGTTGTATCATGGAGGTCAGCGGAGGTCAGATGAGATGAAATTGCACTTACATAACATGAACATGTGTGTGTATATATGTGCGTGTGCGTGTGCGAGTGCGAGTGCGTGGCAGCTTGTACTTGTACAGACGTGTACAGACTTGTGTTAGGCACAATGGCTTAGAATAATATGCTGTATGTGTACAAAGGAAGACGCAATTATCAAGGTATGTAGTAAAGGGAGATAACTCTGTAAAACATATACTGTGATCTAAGGGAGATAATCCAGGTCGTAAATCCATCGTAATTGTGTACTTTATGACAATGATTTATGCTGCCGTCATTTGGGAAAATGGAATAAATTTGTGGCAGACCCGATCTTCATCATTAGTTATTATTTTAAACACCTAAGTTACAGTGGTGTTACCTCATGATATCGAATAGGTTTCTCTATGCATAAATAATAAAAATAATTTTTCATTTAATAAGCAACATTTATGGCATCGGTAACAGCCGGAAAACATTATGGTTATTAACTCAACATCCTACGAAATAAAGGGTTGACTATTTGTCATGATATTATATTATTGTTCTCATGCTCATATAACAAGCGCACTGCATGTCATAAAGCGATGGCGTCAGCTGTGATATAAGTCAGAGCGCACCACGTGGAAAGCCAGAGTCATGGAATGAAAGGACATCGTTACAAGCCAGTGTCATCCTGAATCTTGTCCCAAAAACTATTCAAGCGTAAATTACCCGAGAACGCGTAAAAAGCAATCCAGTGATTGATGCCAATACCCGCAATTGGGATATGATGACATGCATCAACCAAATCAGCAAGCCTGGCCACCCGATCCCGTTAGTCGCCTCTTAGTCGCCCTTTACGACAAGCATGGGTTGCTGAAGACCTATTCTACCCCGAGTACGTCATTGCTATACGTACATGTACACTGCAGACCCGAAACTGTCGTTGACCCGAAATTATATATGCGGTTCCAGACTATTTGATTTCGCGTGAGTCACGACTTGCGTGACACTCGAATGGAACGCATACATTCCGAAACTGAGGGTATGGTTGAGTCACATTTCGCCTACATCCCATTTAGCCAAGAGAAACCACGTTGGCGAATAGGGAATAGAAAATGCAACCCTATTGAGAAAATGGACTTGACTTGGTGGAATTAAGGAAGGTCAGTTTCACAATGTATGAGTAAAAAGATAAGCATATCATTGTCTTTAAAGGGAGTCGGTCTATAATCAGTGTTTATATAAGCAATTGTCCTCGCCTTCATATTGACCATGGTGCAACAACTCGGCCACGCTCACGAGCTTACAGAGATCTTGACCAGCGCCTCAACCGACTGAGACAGCAACTTGAAAGTGGAAGAAAATCGCCCATTCAGTTCCTGGACGCAGCAAGTCACTTATTAAAGCTTCAATAAACTCAGATTGTTTTTTTTATTATTGTTTTGTATTATCAGTTGCTATGAATAAAAATAGGAAAGAAAAACACTAAGGGAGATTCCATTTACATCTGAAGGGGGTAAACTTATTACTCATGCATGAAATAACAGTCACCAGACTGTAGGCGAAATGGGATGTAGGCGAAATGGGAACAACCCGAGGGTATTATATTTAAGTTAAGTTTCATACATCTTATGTGACAGTGTATATTGTAGGGGCGCATCTTGGCTAATTTTTATTGTAAGCTAAATCAACTTTACGAGGGCCGGGTAGGGTCAAGCTCACCCAGATTATTTTTAGAATTTGATGCTAGAATTAAAACGCTATTTCCTGCATTTTGGGTCCATTTTTGAAAGATTGTATTATAACAAATATTGGTAATGTATTTATTATTATGTTTTATTAGTAATATATAAATATTTTTCTCCACCCCCCAACACATTTTGGACTTTCATTTATGAAACATCCATGATGACAAATGAAATTTAAACATTAAAACATTAAAACGAATCGATATGAGTTTTTACATGTTCATTCTTGTGCGTAGAGATTTTTAAGTTAGACAATACATATCACGTTCGACAGTGTAGAGTTTGAATTAATGATTTACTGGATAGATGATACATTGAGGTTTACTTATTTTTAAAAATATATGTCGGTTTTTCTAAGGTGTGAGCAATTGCTTTTTGCTACAATGTTCCGATCCTGTATTGCAAGTTATATTTCTGATGATAGTGAGTGTCAAATTGAGTGAAGCTCTCGTAAAATATCTCCTTGCACAGTGCGAAAGGGATACCTATCGGAAAACACCGATTGTGCATGTTTCGAACACTCGAGACTCCAGGCAGGGGGGGGGGGGGGGGGGGGGGGTTTAGTGCCTCCGAAGTCGTTCATTTCTTTGAAGGGTGGTGTTTCCTAGGTGTGTACGGATGTGCTAATATTGTTTTCGATTTCCTTATTTCCCTGATCCATGGTATGTCGCCACCATACCGGTACACGTTGGTATCACTTAAGCTTTCCCCGCACATAATGATATTATTATTTTATGATGTGAAGATTCCGGGGTAGAATATGTCTTCAGCAACCAATGCTTGCCGTAAAAGGTGACTATGCTTGTCGTAAAAGGCGACTAACGGGATCAGGTGGTCAGGCTCGCTGACTTGGTTGATGCATGTCATCGATCCCAATGGCGTGGATCGATGCTCATGATATTAATCACTGGATTGTCTGGTCCAGACTCGATTATTTACAGACCGCTGTCATATAGCTGGAATATTGCTGAGTGCGGCGTTAAACGTTAAACAACAAACCAACCAACCAACCAACCTAGAAACGCGGTCACCCATCCAATGAATCTCGCGACTTACGTTGATTAACGTCACCTGATTTGGGACCTTTGCGCTGTGCACAGGACCAGGTGCCACCATTAAGTATTCACATCGTACTATAAACAAAATCTTCTTCCCGGGGCCATTAAACCTATGCTGAAATAATTGAGCACAACAACATTAAGTGCATAGTGTTTAATGGAAGTGGTCATACAATAATCTATGAAAGCACACGTTTGGACAGGCACCTGTTCAACAGATACCGTACAATGATGTGATTGTTAACCCAGTATATACTGATTGTTTGCACTATAGATGAAGACCGCCTCCGTGGTCTAGTGGTAGAGCGTCCGCCCGGAGAGCGGAAGGCTCGGGGTTCGATCCCCGGCCGCGTCATACCAAAAGACGTTAAAAGATGGTACTTGTTGTTACCCTGTCTGGCGCTCGGCATTAAGGGGCTAAAACAAGGACTGGTCGGCTCGGAGTCAGTATACTGTGTCTGAGTGGGGTATTCATGTTAAACTGCGGCATGGTATCTCAGTGAGCTAGCACTATAAATCGGCATCAGTCCGGACTAGTACAAGCAGCCACACAAACACACACACGTACATGCACGTCGCTATATAAGTGCAATAATCTTGGACGCGACGTTAAACCCAATTTCACCTCACCTCACCTATAGATGAAACATTAGAGACGCACTGATAATCATCCTACGATGACCCTAATTATAATATCGGTATGTCATCAATGGGAGTAGGCATTCTGTGACTGAAGCAGAAAATAGCTGCGGGGCGTGTTAGCATAAACAACCTGGATCAGCATTATTCCAGTATCATGAGTGAGTGAGTGAGTGTGATTTTACGCCGCTTGTAGCAATATTCCAGCAATATCACGGCGGTGGACACCAGAAATGGGCTTCACACATTGTACCCATGTCGGGAATCGAACCCGGGTCTACGGCGTGACGAGCGAACGCTTTAACCACTAGGCTACCCGACAGCCCCTTGCCATGCTAGAACAGTCCCTTCAAACTCTCATGGTGGTGGGGAAGTGGGTAAAACGTACCCTCGTTACACCGAAGTCCGAGTTCGATTTCCAACATGGGTGCAATATGTGAAGTTCCTTTCTTCCCTGCAGTGATATATATAGCGAGATAAAACCATATAACTCACTCACTCACTGAAACATTGTGCCCATGTCGGGTACTCCAGTTTCAAACATGCCCCCATCAATATTTCCCTTTACAAAACATGGGGTTTATTCTGAATCATGATTCATAGAAAACAACCGTTAACGCCAGAAAATCAAACAGATTTCACTGGGCGTAAAGGCAAAATAGTGATGAAAATTATATGAATGGATCACTTGAAATCAGTGCAGACGCAAGGTGTTTGCGTAAAAAGTAAGGGTGTCCTGATTTACTGGAAGCACCTGCCAATTTTCATACAAAAATAAATGAGCTGTGAAAAAGTGACCATGCTTGTCGCAAGAGGCGACTAACGGGATCGGGTGGTCAGGCTCGCTGACTTGGTTGATGCACGTCATCGTATCCCAACTGCGTAGATCGCTGCTCATGATGTCAATCACTGGATTGTCTGGCCCAGACTCGATTGCCGTTATTTAGCAGAAATATTGAGTCTGGGCCAGACATTCCAGTGAACAGTATCCACGTGATTGTTGTATGACAGCCCCGAGTCACAGGGTCATAATATACTCGTTGACACTTACACCCCCAGGCCATGAAGGAAACATCACATCGTTATCAGTACATGAAATCCGAGTCTCCCACACCTTCTTTCTAAGTCTCCGTAACATGGACATCAAGGTTTCAATCACATTTGACATTGTTGTCAGAACAGATAATGCGTTTGAGGTAATTTTTGTATACTCTTCCAAAACTATATCTTTGGTCTCGATTGTAGTCCGCACATTCACGATTGTAGTTTCAACAAGACGTTACCAGCTCTGGAACATTCACAGACTGACATCTAGTCACTGAAATGAACATATTTTACAGAAAAAACAGTTGTTAAATTCGTGTTATAAAATATGATAAAAAGGAGCCCAAAGACTTTCTTCCTTTCTGACACTGCAGTAATCTAGACTTGCCAAACATTATAGACTTGCATGGGCTGTATTGGATATATTTGTTTCAGAGTCTGTATGCCAGACTAGAACATTCAGTACTGTAAGGATCCTATAGGGGATACTCCTTACTAAAATACTCTTGTTTTGATGACCTCCAGACGACCACTCGTCATTAGTCTCATCTTAAGATTTATTGACATATCACATCTACTCGTTTACAGTAGGAACATTAAGTGTGAGTTTGGTTTAGCGCCTCTTTCGCAATATTCCAGCAATATCACGACGGGGGCCACAAGAAAATGGGCTTTACACATTGTACCCATGTGGGAAATCGAACCTGGGTCTTCGGCGTGACGAGTGAATACTTTAACCGCTAGACTACCCCACCGCCCCAGGTGCTGACAGGTTTGGAACTTTCAATACTAGAGTCCTACTGAGGTCATACGGGAGCCCCTTCCTGGTATGTTTCTTTGGTCCCGTCTTAAAGTCTCCCATCTTCCCGAGGTAAGGGAGTTATCTGACTTTGAACGTCCAGTTTCCAAGCTTGCCGAACTAGGTTGGAATTCCTAGGCTCGATCGTAGCGCCACCAGTAGTTATTACGAGTTATATCCCTTCTATGTCCCTCCTATGGACCAATCAGATTTCACCTCTCGTATCACTTGCATTTTTCAAACAAAATGGCGGCGCCCAGTCAAGACGATCTGATCGATAATATAATATAAACATAAAGTTCTATATTGTGATAAAACGGGTCTTACATCGCGAAGCGCATCATATCGCGTGAGCACCTTGATTAAAAACATGAAGAGATTTGGAAAAAATCTGTTGACAACGAGTTGGCGGTGTATATGCTTTGGAAATCCTGCAATCGACCGAAATCTGCTCGACAGATTTTGATTGGACTATGCATAGACTCTTTAGTCCAGCCAAAATGTAACTCCATAATACCAGCCTAGTTCGGCATGGCTGCGAACTGGACTTTTATAGTCAGTTAACTCGTTTGCCTCGGGAAGATGAAAGTGTTAACACAGGGTGTTAATACACTGGTGTGTTGACAATGACAGTTGGCACCCCGACTTCTGCAGCAGGCATATCATCTCCTGACCAGTTAGACTTCTGTGGGGGGTACATCATAGTCCCTGACGAGGGGCATGCTGATCTGCCGCCGAGGCCCTCCCTGGGAGCTCGGCTTGCTCCCTGGCGGCTTCACCCTGATCACCCTCCGTGCAGGAACGGCGTCCTGTGACCTCACCGGCTCCATCTTGTCTTCTCGGAGGTAGTCGTTGACATGAGCGTAAGCAATCCTCATCTCCCTGGTCATCTCAGGACTCGACACTCTAGATCTCGTCTTTGTCTTCACGTTGGAGAGGTTCTTCCTGAGTGCTTGTATCTCTTGTCGGAGGGAGTCGATCTCCGCATCCTTCCACACCATCTTCTTGTAGAGATGTTCGATCTGGGCGTGGACCATCGCCACCTGCATCGCCAGGAAGCGGAGGTCGGTTCTTACTGACTGTTGGTTGGCCTTGTGATCGGAGAGAGTTGGAGTGTCTCGTGTCAACACGTCACTCAGTTTCTGTATTTCCGATAAAAGGTTATTCTTGGCCTTGTCCTCCTTCTGAAGATGACCTTTGACAACATCGGTAAGTGACTTGTCGGAGTATTTGGTGTTCTTTACCCCGAGCAGAGCACACACTGCCTCCTTTTCGTTTGACACAGATGTAGCGTTCTCCCGCCCGACGTTAGCGAGCTGAAGAACCTTCTTTAAGTTCCGTTCTAGAAGAGTGACCTTCACATTGTCAGGGTCACCCTCGCACCTCTCGGATTCCTCGCCAAGAAATGACCTCAGCTGATAATTGATCCCTGCAATGTTGGCATTGAGCATGTCAAATCTCTCCTTGAGGCGAATGATGGTTTTGCTGTTGGCGGTGTTGAAGTTGGCTTGCTTTTCGATGTCGTTGACATGCTCATACCGGAGGCGTTCCAGCTCCTTATTAAGACTCTGCACTTCAATCGTTAGACTTCGGAGTTGTTCGTCTTTACCCTTAACCTCTGCTTGGAGCTGTGCAACCTGGAAGAGAAATATGGCCTTTAACAGAAGTACTCACTCTGTAAATATGTGTAAACCCAGACAAGGATAATGATTAAATCCTAAGCGGAATACATATTTGGTGTGCTCTATCTAAACACGTTCAGGGTATAAAAACAATAAATGAGTTATCGTCTCACAGCCTAACAAACACCTAAACACAACATCCCCATAATCTTAACAAGTTTAGACCTTCAACATTTTTAGAATTTATATGTTTGCGACAACGTGCATATCATAAGTTAAGTAAGGATAAGATTTATAATTCATATTGAAATTAGACGTGCAAATCGGATTTACAGACACTTGCATAGCACATTAAAAAGTAAGAGGCGACTAACGGGATCGGGTAGTCAGGCTCGCTGACTTGGTTGATGCATGTCATCGTATCCCAATTGCGTGGATCGATGCTCGCGATGTCAATCGCCGGATTGTCTGGTCAAGACTCGATTATTTACAGACCGCCGTCATTTAGCTGGAATATTGCTGAGTGCGGCGTTAAACAACAAACAAATAAACATACAAGCCAACTAAAATGTACATATAAAGCAACCTTTGGTTAATGGTAAATGAGAAAGTTTGACTTTTAAGACAACAACAGTTTCCGTAGCACAGATGGTAGGGTGAGAGCTACAAATCTAGATAGCAGGTTCGTATCGAGCTTTTTAAGTTGTTGTGAGTTTTAATGTGTCCTCGCTATGTATTGTTTCCATCAGACAGGAAACGTAATCTGACAATGACAGTATATCTGATAACTACGATAGACCCTTACTTATGTAGCCTATATAAACGCTACATAACAAAGAAAGCGCCCCATTTTCAAATTACCTAAGCTGAATTTCGGGGGAGAGGAGTGTAAACGGGACTTTTCCACATTTAGACGCAAATTACGTTCAGCTGCACAGTTTGATAATCAGATGTTTTGAGCATCATGTTATAAAAGGATACATTAGGGATCCAGAAAGCACGAAAGTGTGTCTTGTCGGTGACACCTTGTGAATGTCATTACGTGTATATGAAATTTCATTCAGAAATGTTGTAGAACGGACACCCTATATTCCGGAAACATCTTCTTCCACTTACATAGCGACGCGCGCGCGCCCGTGCGTGCGTGCGTGCGTGCGTGCGTGCGTGTGTGGTGTGTGTGTGTGTGTGTGTGTGTGTGTGGCTGCTTGTACTAGTCAGGACTAATGCCGATAATATAGTGCCAGCCCACTGAGGTACTATCCCGCATTTTAAGATGAATACCCAACTCAGACACAGTAAACTGACTCCGAGCCGACCAGTCCTTGTGTTAGCCCCTTAATGCCGAGCGTCAGGGAGAGTATACATATTTATAATAAAAAGGGCAATCATCTGGCTATGGCCTAAACCGTAATTGTTGCAACCATGTAGTACCTGAGTGTGCATCGTCTGTATGGTTTCACGGAGGTGTCTCTCGTGTTTGAAGTCGGCTGCTCTTGTTTTGATGACCTCCAGACGATCGCTCGGCGCCGCCTGCCACGACGTCACCAACGTCTTCTCTCGCACCTGCATATACAGTGAGCCTCTTCAATCAATATCTAAGATTTTGTTTGTTTGTTTGTTGTTTAACGCCGCTCTCGGCAATATTCCAGCCATATAACGGCGGTCTGTAAATAATCGAGGCTGTACCAGACAATCCAGCGATTGACATCATGAGCATCGATCCACACAATTAGGATACGATGACATGCATCAACCAAGTCAGCGAGCCTGACTACCCAATCCCGTTAGTCGCGTCTTACAAGCATAGTCGCTTTTACGACAAGCATGGGTTGCTGAGGACCTATTCTACCCCGGATCTTCACGGGTCCAATATCTAAGAAACACTGTGAAGGATATTCACACATTGTATTCTTGTTGGGAATCAACCATGAGTCTGACATGTCACTACTTTAACAACTTAGTGACTACTCGGGCGGTCGGGTAGCCTAGTGGTTAAAGCGTTCGCTCGTCACGCAGAAGACCCGGGTTCGATTCCCGACATGGGTACATTGTGTGAAGCCCATTTCTGGTGTCCCTCGCCGTGATATTGCTGGAATATTGCTAAAAGCGGCGTAAAACCATACTCACTCACTCACTCACTAGTGACTACTCGCCCCATGAATAGATACATATACATGTCAACAATTGAAGTAGGCAGTGTGAGAGAGTGAGTCGGTTTTACGTGGCCATATTCCAGCAATATCACGGGGGTACACCAGAAATGGGTTTCACACATTGTATCCATGTCGGACGCTTACCCACGCCCCTAGTCTGTTATATTGACCCTCATATTATGTACCCAATATAGCCCATGCAAGCCAATAATAGTTGCCAAGACGACTTCAGTTTGATGTGAGTGTCTGGGCTTTTTTTCGTTATGATTTATTAAGAATAATTAAACGTTTTTTTCTGCAAAATATATTAGTTTCAGAGACTAGATGTTAGGGACCGACCTTTGATAGTCTTGTAGGGGATTGGGATTTTATTGAAAAAAATTGTTCCCGAAAATTCTTGAAAAAATTAAATATACTTCAGACGTAAATAAAAGAGAAAATGCCTGCCACCAAAAAATACATTGTTGCAATGTGTTTTTCTTAATAAACCACAAAGAATTATAGTTTGGAATAAAACAATTTTGGTTTTATAGCTGTAGCAGAAAAATATCTAATTTCGATACAAAATTCCTCCCCCACTCCCCTGCGTATGAATCGGTCCGCCCTTAGTCTACGCCCCTTGTGAGATTTGTAAGGACTCAAACTGAGAAGACGGTCCCCAACTTGAAACCCTTACACTTATGAAAAGAAACCAAGGTGAAGAGGGCCATGCGGTGGCTGATGTGGTGGCACACAGTTTGGGTGAGATGCGGACGTAAAATCAGTGATGCGCTGCAGCTTATGATTACGGGTTATGAGTATAATGTGCGGGCCCCGCCTTGATAGGGCTGGAACATCACCCAGAGCGGCATAAAGGCCAACTCACTCACTAACTCACTGTAATTATTGAGGAGCCCAAATCCCGGTTTCACAAACTGATCTTAGGATTGTCTATCCATGGATGTTGATGTATAACAAAATACCATGGTGTGTCATAAGTCCATATTAAAGAATGGCGGTAATGCCCGTCACAGCTCTAGGGGCCTAGTAAGGTGAGGTGAGGTGAAATTGGGTTTAACGTCGTGTCCAAGATTATTGCACTTATAGAGCGACGTGCATGCACGTGTGTGTGGCTGCTTGTACTTGTCTGGAGTGATGCCGATTTATAGTGCTAGCTGAGATACCATGCCAGTTTAACATGAATACCCCACTCAGACACAGTATACTGACTCCGAGCCGACCAGTCCTTGTGTTAACCCCTTAATGCCGAACGTCAGACAGGGTAACAACAAGTACCATCTTTTAACGTCTTTTGGCATGAAGCGGCCAGGGATCGAACCCCGGACCTTCCGCTCTCACCAAATGAAGCTTATTAGCCTGTGATTCAATGTTAAAGCAAAAAAACTCCATTTTTACCGGTGGGAACAAAGTTTAACATGCCCACCGTACAGCGAAACCCGGTTAATCCAGAAAACATCGTTCGGATTAATATCGTTGGACACTACCATATACGTTCCAAACAGTTTCCGGATTTACAGGGTTTCAGGATTTCATTGGGTGAATCTGCGGTGCAAAAGAAGTATACTCTTGAAAGTTGGATTTGACAAAATTATTTCAAACGTTTTCAAAGCATTACTAGGTTCAAATCAGTTGCCGAAACACTGCAAACTTTAGGCCCGAAACACAACTGTTATACTCGTATTAAATACATCACCATCGAATAACCATTTCTCGTTTGTCTCATGGTTGTATACTTTCTTTTGCCCGGCAGTTTATGTAGGTTCAATCACTGGCATGTACGCCATGTTGGGGATAAAATGTTTCCGTGACCTTCACCTTTAACGCTAATGACAGAGGCGGACTATTAAAAGATCTCATTGATCCTTCTGTCGTACCCTTGTGGGTGTGTCTGGCAATCCATGAATAGTGTCATGAGGCCATTAAGTTTGGTGGTACGGTAACGGGAGAGCACAATTCCCATAGCATATACACTGTACAGGGGGACATCGAGGCTTGCTGTAGTGAGTGAGTATGGTTTTACGCCGCTTTTAGAAATATTCCAGCAATATCACGGCGGGGGATCCCAGAAATGGGCTTCACACACTGTACCCATGTGGGGAATCGAACCCGGGTCTTCGGCGTGACTCACTCTTAAGTAAAGCCCAGAGCACACTGCTCACTCAATCTCTTTCAAAACGTAGAGGTGTTCTTTTTGTGAAGATTTCAAAAAGCGGCACGCAATCATTAGGTTGTATAATCAGAGTTACAACATTCAACAGGTATTATGGTATCAAACTTCCAAAGTTGACGCATAATTGACCAAACATATGTCTGATGCTCCGTATGTTTCCGTGGGTTTTCAGGTGCACAATTGCGATGCCTTTGCAGGTGTTTGTGCCATCGGTGGAGCAGGATACGTTCACTTGTTTCGCGAACACCTGGTGTGATCACTATTTCATAGTTTCGTAAACACATGCGTTTGATATAGTCGGAATAATACAATGGAGATTTCTTATAATCATAGATATATCTATAACAAAAGACGTATATATAGAGAGAGATACATACGTCTTTGCTCTGACAAATATTGCAACACGACTTGGCACGTTGAAGGCCGCCAATATTAAAATCTTGTGGGGAATCGAACCCGGGTTTTATTATAGTGGTGAGCCTTCACTCGACGACTCCTTACTTTCGCTTCTGATACTCTAAACTCAAGAGACAAACGTATAAGAATGTCGACACTGTTTCACACGGGCAACGCGCGACGTCCAGGTGATTAGTGTACGTTTGTTTAAAGACGACAATAACTACATACGGAGTAGGTGTCAATTACGAAAGAAACAACCTAACACGCGTGAGGCGTGGTTCCAAGCGACAGTGACAAGCACGACTACAGCGTCTAATTGGTAACCGGATATCTGAAAACACGTTGTTATTGCATTTCGAGAGTAACCTGAGAGAGAAGATGAAAAAGTGTTGTTTTAATTATTTTTTTCATCTTGTGGACTGACTGTGGACTGCTCTATAGCCTTCAGGGTGCCTGTTGTACAAAGCGATCTTAGCGCTAAGGTGGTCGTGACGTACCTCCCATCTTAACACAAACTTACGACAGTCATAGCGCTAAGATTGTTTTGTACAACGGCGCCCAGACCATATTTACTCTGTGACTAGATTATCTCTGGGGATCCGTTTCTTGAGAACTTTTTTTACACCTCTTTTCTGTTATCATTTTCCCCTCTTTTGGGGTGGCTGTGTGGTGGGTGGGTGGGGGTGGAGGGTGGGGGGGGTTCACAACAAATGCGGTATGTCCAGAAAATATATGAAAATATTTTTTGAAGGTCACCAAAAAGTGGTCGACTCCTCCTTTCCTAGAAAACAAATGTAGGTCTTGGAAAAGTTGCAGATATGTATTCTGTGTCAACCACATGTCCCATCTGTTTAAAAAATATAAATATATCAACTGCCGAAACAACAGGAATATCTCATATTTACCATGCTGTCTAAACACGTGATCAACTTCTTCCGGATGTCGTCTGGTATTCTCTCCAAAATGGCGGGAAACCGGCTCGCGATCGTCTCTTCCATGTCCGCGTGACTCGACTCTGAAAACAAAGTGTCTCAATATATACATCGGTGGTATCTGTTATAATCCTTCTCTCGTGAAATTAAAGATGGCACACTATCTGTGGTCGGGTTGCGGCAGTGTTTCAGTAGATGATGTGTGTCACGTTGTGTCTTCATGTTGCATGTTATTCTCTGAAAGTATTCTTCATATCGTCCCACTGACCATTGCCTAGCAACCTTCAGTGACCGGTGCCTAGCAACTCACCTTCATCCCACATGACATCGGTCAGGAAGCAGAGACCGTTGCCTGGCAACACTCACCTTCATCTCACATGGCATCGGCCCGAGACAGTGACCGGTGCCTAGCAACACTCGCTTTCATCCCATATGACATCCCAAGAAACAGTGACCGTTGCCTAGCAACACTAACCTTCATCCCACATGACATCGGCCAGGAAACAGTGACCGTTGCCTAGCAACACTAACCTTCATCCCACATGACATCGGCCAGGAAACAGTGACCGGTGCCTAGCAACACTCGCCGGAAGCGTCTGAAGGCAGCGCTCGTTCTCAGTTGTAGAGCGCTCATCAACCTCTCCGCTCTCTCCTCGCGACTCAAGCCATCTTCCTGCGAAATTAAGTAAAATGTTTCTTTCAATTATTAGTTCGAGAGCGACATACAGTCAAACCTCGCAACTCTGGACGGTGTGTTTCAAATGACATAGTCCGGCATGTTGCATCATTTGTGAACACCTATGTCCCTTTCGCTGTATACAGACGTTCGGTTTACAGGGTGTCCGGTATATAGGAACCCGACTGTAACGAGAACTGTACTGTAGACCTACGTTCCTTTCATTAAGCTTGTCAGGACTGTCGAGTGACAGACTTGAAACGGCAACTGACGAGATATATATACCTGTATCCTGTACCCTTCCCAAAGTACTGTATTTCAATGTCATTTGTTTTTGTAAACCTGTTTTATGTATGATTTTCCTTAATGACTTTTAACAGATGAGATAATGAATGTTGGGTCGAACCTTTTTTACGTAAAAAATTATAAAGTAGGAAAGGCATTTACAAAAAAGGGTACGCAAAAAGCAATGGATGACAAGTTAACGTTATTGAGTTGCGCTTTGCCAGGATCCGCTCATCGTGGGTTCGAATCCAAAAGTTGTCCCGAGTATGATCCGTGGTATGCCAACATGATAACCCTGCCGTGGAGGACATTTACCAAATCTGACGCGTCACTGACAAAAATTATATCCGATGCTATTCCCTGTTTGGACTTGAATCATATGTGTTCCCGTAGTTTTCATGTGAGCACCTGACTTGCCGGTATACATGTCTTTGTAACAGGTGCCACCCGTGGAGCAAGATACGCTCACCTTTTCGCAAACATCTGGTATTATTACTTACATAGTGATTCATAGTGACACATACTCATGAATTAGTGGGAATCGTAACTCCGCCAAAATGGTAAACGTAAACCTGTATCTTGTTTTAGCCTTTCCTTTACACGCCGTGATGTATACTGAAATATTATTCAAAGAGGCGTTCATCCCAACTCACATCCATTTTTTTAAGAAAGGTGAGCTTCAGTACACGAAAATATTTTAGAGATTATTGTGAATTGTTTTTGTATAATTGCCAACAGGTATCTTATATGCACATAACGGATAAAATACTCTGTTAAATCCCATTGTCCTCTTTTCTTACGGCATTGTTCAGAAATCTGAATTGATTTTTCAAGCTGATATTTCCCAGTCGTCTCATTCAGCACTGTAGGGGCCATGTTGATTATACCTCGACAATAGCATGGATCACGATCGTGTCTGAATGCTATACGCACGGCCTAATGAAGTCTCTTGCATTGTGGGAAAATTCCCCCTGTCGGGGTAGGTGATTTCCAGACAATACACCTGTTTGCCAATCGCTTTCTAATACACACACCTACCTGTCAGTTACCTGTCAAGTTATTACGGGACGTGGATGGCTATTGAATATTCCCGTACGGCGTAAATGCAGTTACAGAGTGATTTAGCGTACCCGCATTGAGGCTTAATACCCAGTCTGGTTATCTGTTGCGATCGTATTTCCAGCAGGACTGCAGACACGTGTCAAGATATGGCTGTAATGTGTTTCTATATGTCTGGCTGTATGGTGATGTTTGTACTGAGCACTTAAAGTGGCTGCATGAATAGGTGATCTGTGTGATGAATGGCTTGTGGTCCCTATTAAACGTGGCGTCGGGAATTTCAGCATGGCTCGTGGAAATTAAAGTGACTTTACTTACGATAGAATGTCGAGCATGCTTTGACGACGCCATAAATTCACGAAACGTTCATTGCATGGAGTGGTGATGTTTGTTGATACTTTTAAAGGACTGAACTAAAGAAACCTCGACTCGGCGAAGGGTACGTGTTTTGACGTGTTGTCACTAACGACATACACACAATTCTGGTTTTTATTTTTTAAAGCTAAGTAATACTGTCAAGAGAACAAAGAGCAAATTAAGAGAATTTATGGCATGCAAAAATACCAATACATTTAATTACGAACTCAATTATAACTAACTCAAAGGAAACACTAATTTTAATTCGTTATAACCGCAGTTCGTCATAAGCAAACGTACAGACTGTATACAGCAAAAGGACAGGACAAAAATAGTCCGTAATATCCGTTAGTTCGTTATAAGCGTGTTTGTTATGAACATAGTATACTGTACTTATATTAATAATGGTTGTGGTGTTGTTGGAATGGGTGGCGGCGTGGATGGGGGTGTTGGAATTCGTGGCGGCGTGGGTGGGGATGTTGGAATGGGTAGGGGCGGGCATGTTGGAATGGGTGGGGGTGGGACTGTACCCAAGTCCTTATATGTATATAGCCTATATGAAACTGTACCCAAGTCCTTATGTGTCTGTAGCCTATATGAAACTGTACCCAAGTCCGTATGTGTATATAGCCTATATGAAACTGTACCCAAGTCCTTATGTGTATATAGCCTTTATAAAACTGTACCCAAGTCCTTATGTGTCTGTAGCCTATATGAAACTGTACCCAAGTCCTTATGTGTATATAGCCTGGGTGAAACTGTACCTAAGTCCTTATGTGTATATAGCCTATATGAAACTGTACCCAAGTCCTTATGTGTATATAGCCTGGGTGAAACTGAGACAATCGTCAACAATCTCTCTGCTAAGGTGTTCACGTTGAGGTCGGAGGCTCACAAGTAGTACATTTCGGAGAGGAATCTAAATCTACTACTAAATTGGTTTGGATTTTTTCTTATGTATGTTTATGTCAAACCGGCGTCTTTTATTTGGATGCCAGGAGAATATGTGTGCAAATCGGTCCAAGAGTTTTGTGTCTGACCCCATTACAGAGTGTGTGAGTGAGTGAATGAGTTGGGTTTAACGTCGTTTTCACCAGTATTCCAGTTATAGCCCGAAGTGGTGCAGGTCTCAGACGTTTACCACGTTGATGAAACCCACAAGCACAGGTGTGGTACTGACAAACCAAGAAACATGATCAGGGCGAACATCACAAGAGACCAACCAGACTGGAACTCCCCTTGAGTGGGTGAATTGACGCTGAACTGCAATGATAACCCAAAATGACGCATTTCTTTGACGTTTATTTAATTGGTGAAACCTACAAGTAAGGGTATAGTGCTGACAGGCAAAGAAGGAAAAGGGTGAGTATAGGATTCGAACCCTATGCAGCAGTCCTGGCCCCAGCTAATGATTTCATCACCATCAATGCCAGTGAATGACGTCACACAGCGGTGTACATTGTCATTAATGCCAGCGAATGACGTCACACAGTGGTGTACATACCCAAAATGCACGTGAATGACGTCACATAGCGGTGTACATACCCAAAATGCACGTGAATGACGTCACACAGTTTTGTACATATCTCCATGACCGTGAATGACGTCACATAGCGGTGTACATACCCAAAATGCACGTGAATGACGTCACACAGCGGTGTACATATCTCCATGCCCGTGACTGACGTCACACAGTGTTGTACATAGCTCAATGACCGTGAATGACGTCACACAGTGGTGTACATAACCAAAATGCCCGTGAATGACATCACACAGTGGTGTACATATCCACAATGCCCGTGAATGACATCACAGTGGTGTACATACCCGCAATGCCCGTGAATGACATCACACAGTGGTGTACATATCCACAATGCCCGTGAATTACGTCACACAGCGGTGTACATACCCAAAATGCCCGTGAATGACGTCACACAGTGTTGTACATAGCTCAATGACCATGAATGACGTTACACAGTGTTGTACATAGCTCAATGACCATGAATGACGTCACACAATGGTGTACATATCCACAATGCCCGTGAATGACGTCACACAATGGTATGCATACCCACAATGCCCGTGAATGACGTCACAAAATGGTGTACATATCCACAAGGCCCGTGAATGACGTCACACAATGGTGCACATACCCACAATGCCCGTGAATGACATCACACAATGGTGTACATACCCACAATGCCCGTGAATGACGTCACATAATGGTGTACATACCCACAATGCCCGTGAATGACGTCACACAATGGTGTACGTACACACAATACCCGTGAATGTTGTCACACAGTCGTGTACGCAACAGCTGGTGACGCCCGGGGATGCTGTTGGCACTGATGCTCGCCGTCAGGTAACGGACGTTAATAGGGAAACTAGGAGATTAGTCTTGCATCAGTTGCATCGATTGTTTACTGAACGGTGATGCGTCTGACATTTATTGTCAGTTAAAACCTCCCACGTGCATGGTCGTGGCCCTCCAGTAAATGAATTATCTGAAAGCATGACATATTAGCAAGTCCATCCAGGAAATTTGTTTCTGAATGAACTTGCTTAATTTGATAGGGGTCTATTCTCTTTTGAATGATGGCGGTCTCGGCCTGGTCGTTTACTGTTTTCAGGAAATTCGTGATATTCATTTTCAAATAAAATATTATTTTATTTTTTTGCAACTCCAATAATAAAATCAGAAAAACGACCTTTGCCATGACAGTTTTTATCTTCCCGAGGCAAGTGTGTTAACTGAATATAAAAGTCCAGTTTCCACCCTTGCCGAACTAGACTGGTATTATTGAGTTATAGAGCCTAATCATAGTCCAATCAAAATCGCGCAACGAAATCGAAATCCTGTTCGTAAACTGTCATGCAGATTTCGGTCGATTGCAGGATTTGAAAAGCATGTGCACCGCCAACTCGTTGTCAACAAATATTTACTAAATCTTTTCATGTTTTAACTGGTGCTCGCGTGATTTGGTGCATATCGCGATGTAAGACCCGTTTTATTACAATATAGATCTTGATTATCGAGCAGATCGTCCTGACTTGACGCAGCCATTTTGTTTGAAACAAATGCAAGTAATACGAGAGGTGGAATCTGATTGGTCCATGGGAGAGGCTCAGAAGGGACATAACCGGTAATAGCCATTGGTGGCGCTACGATCGAGCCCAGGAATTCCAGCCTAGTTCGACAAGGGTCGAAACTGGACTTTTAAAGTCAGTTAAGTCTATTGGAAGATGGACAGTTATTGGCGCCTCGGTGGGGATGGCTTAATGCTTTACATTCAGGGGGACGTGGGAAATGAATGCAATAACACGTGACCAATTCAGCTGATCAGAATGCAGGAATTACAAAATGGGTGAGTGAGTATGGTTTTACGCCGCTTTTAGCAATATTCCAGAAATATCACGGAGGGGGGGGGACACCAGAAATGGGCTTAACACATTGTACCCATGTCAGGAATCGAACCCGGGTCTTCGTCGTGACTAGCGAACGCTTTAACCACTAGGCTATCCGACCGCCCCGGAATTACAATGAACACAACGAAAATGTAATTATTTTCAAATAAAAACTTATTTTATATTTTGCAACTCAGAAAATCAGAAAAACGACCTTTGCCATGACAGTTATTGGCAAGGTTGAACTTTGATCAAAAACATATCCAAACATTAAAGGCAGATGACGTCATACTTCCAGCAATCATGGCCCGAGTAGACACATCTAAATGGGGAAATCTCCTCGACTATTGGCAGTAGAAAACAAAAACCACAACCTGAAAGTCTAATTATTTATGTTCACTTCTGTAGCTCTGGCTTGCTTCCGTGTAAATCAGCTTCCCCGTCAGGGATGAAACATTCGTTGCTAGGCAACCACATTAATAAACATCCCCACAGGACACGACTAAGATCAGAACCGTTTCAGGTAACTTTGATCTGTTGCCATGGTAATGACTGTTTTCGTGTTGTATTGATTGTGTTTGATTTAGGGCGGTACAGCAATGTGGTTTTGCTCTCAGTTAAAGTTGGTGAAGCCCAGGTGTTCGTGATGTCGGTCAGTATCGCCGACAATGACTTGTATACGGTTTCAGTATTGAACAGGTGCCTTACTGTGTCACGCGGCTTATAGTCACGGAGGCAACCTGTTAGGCGCAGCTCTACGTGTGTGTGTGTGTGTGTGTGTGCGTGCGTGCGTGCGTGTGTGTGTGTGTGTGTGTGTGTGTGTGTGTGTGCGTGCGTGTGTGTGTGTGTGCGTATAGACGTGCCTGTGTGTCATCTTTCTGTGTTGATGTGTCTGCGTGTGTGCTCGTGTGTACGTGTCTGTGTGTCATCTGTCTGTGTGAATGTATATATATACATATGTGTGTATGTGTGTGTGTCAATATGTGTATATGTGTGTGTGTGTGTGTGTGTGTGTGTGTTTGAGTGTATGTATGTGTCTGTTTGTATGTATGTGTGTGTGCGCGTGTGTGCATGTGCCAGTATGTTTGTGTGTGTATACGTGTCTGTGTGTGTACGTGTCTGTGTGAATGTGTGCGTGCGTGTGTGTCTATGGTGATGGGTGTAGCGATGTTGGGGAGGGGTGGGGGTGGGGGAGCTCCTTTTACTACATATGTATGTTCTCTACGTACAGAATGCGTATCTTTCTCTAAGTTGATTTGAATAAGGTCAGACGTGCGTTGTTGAATTTTACTTTTAGCTTCTGATCCTAATAGTTTTAATGCAAAATATACTGATTAAAGAAAGTTCAGTACTTTCAGTGAACTTACATCCACATTTTCGACTCGGGGGTCGAAACAGATACATCCAATCCATAAACTAATCCACCTTCATCAATTGAGGATGGGTGATATCGCGAGAGCGAGTACCCCAAAGATTTGAAGGCTTTTGCTGAATAGGAAATGTCTGGTGAGTCAGCGGTTAGGATTTGGTCCGGATAGGTGTGGATGCCAAAGGGGCCTTTATTGGTCATAGGTACCGGCATAAATATCTAAATGTTAGACAGTATTCTTCAGTGTGGAACCACATACCTGATTGACTTTCAAGGGAGCACTTTACACTGAAGGGATTTTGCCGTCCGACTATTCAGGTCAAACACGCTTAGAACTATCTGAAGACGTTTATTCAAAACGGATGTGCGGCCATGCACAGCCGATCGACGTCAGCCAGCGGATGAAGAGAAACTTGTCAGAGGCATTCGTTTGTTTGTTTGTTTTTTTTGTTTGTTTGTTTGTTGGGCGGTCGGGTAGCCAAGTGGTTAAAAATTCGCTCGTCACGCCGAAGACATGGGTTCACATTGATGATATCTCCTGTTAGTCTATGTGGATTTGGATAACTAGAACATATTTCATGTGTCGAAGCATCACATTTCTCGTTACACGTGGAATATCCTATTTATTATATACTTTTTGTGTAGTTGTCTACCGGAAAATAAAAATATTTCATTAGAAATGTAAAATCTTGAAACGTAAATTCTCCCTCCCTAACACGCAGGGACGTTCCAACACCCCTTGTATTTGCGACTCAAAAAGTAGTTCCGTGTTTGCCGAATCTTAAATAATATAAACAAAAGTAACAAAATATATTTTGAGTTACGGAAATCCTTTATCATACATTTGAATATGATTATATGCAAAATCAACTAAACAATAATCTTGAAAACTACGAGACAGCTGTTGGAAGCTAAAGAATATACTCTGTTCAAGTAACAAAAAATGGTCCTTTACGAAAACGAACAGTCTGGATTGACGAGTTAAATGAGACATTTACAGTTTATAACGAAACATTTTCAAGAGAATAACAAGCGCCCAGAAGCGACATTAACTCCATAACCATATGTCATTTTTTTGCCTTGTCTTTATAAAGGAAGTCAACAGTTTGTGTACGGGCTAGACATTTACGAAAAGGGAGACAATTTGCGGGGAGGTAACTCTTGTATGACCATAGTTCCATCCAGGTGTGTTCACTGCAGTGAAATAGTATATAATAAAATGCGTGAAGACATTTTCTAGTGTCCCGTGGTGATATTGCTGGAATGTTAATAATAACGGCGTAAAACCATACGGACTCGCTCCTGTTTGATATCTGGGGACCTCGTGCATTCATTATCGTTTAAAGGGGCGGTCGGATAGCCTAGTGGTTAAAGCGTTTCCCTCGTTACGCCGAAGACCCGGGTTCGATTCCCGACATGGGTACAATGTGTGTAGCCCATTTCTGGTGACCCCGCCGTGGTATTGCTGGAATATTGCTAAAAGCGGCGTAAAACCATACTCACTCACTCATTAACGTTTAAGCTTCACTAAGCCTATAAGCAGAGTACGTTGTACCAATCTAGCCTGTAGCCTGCAGTTGGCACAGCCATCTATTGCTATATACCCATGCAAGTTAGAACGCACGTACGGCCGCACCCGAAATATATGACTGCCTTGACATGTCAGTGACCCCAGTACTTTCATAGCAATTGTAAAGCAAACACGGGTGATTGTGAGAGTACTCGAACCTGTCTTTGTTCTAGATTTACTACAGGTAGTTAAATAAACACTTGGTCAGATTGGATGATAACCTTCTCTTGTTCCTGTCGTGTTACCGCCTCACTGAAGGCGGATATTTACGCCACATTAGGTACGTTTAGTATTTCTACCAAATGTGATTAATTTAATGCACACATGGATAACCGATAGGAATATTACTATGTGAAAGTATGAATGAATAAAATAGACAATAGATCACCAAGGCACTACTATATGATCCCCGGGGAGGGGAAGGTCGGGGGGGTCGATCAAAAAGTAAGGACTGATCGGCTCGGAGTAGGACTGGGACGGGTAACTCGGGTACTCGGGTCGGGTGGGTACTGAGTAGGACCCGGGTATCTATAGGTCTACCGAACCCGTGGTTAGTCACGTGATAATTGTTTAATGATAAAAATGATCTAGAACTCTATGTTTAAACTACAAGTCACCAGTTTTTCGCAGTTGTTTCGCACAACAACTTCATTCACCTTCAGTGTATGCATGACCAGATCGTTTTATACCTGTATCTAAACACATTTTGCCAGGGCTACCGTCAAACTTTTCCCAATCGGACAGTTTGTACCTACCTCTTGGGACCTACAGCGGGTACCCGGGTAGGGTCGGGTAATAGGGGGGTGGGTACCCGGGTAGTAAATTTTGACTTGTCCCAGCCCTAGCTCGGAGCCAGTATACTGTGTCTGAGTTGGGTATTCGTGTTAAACTGCGGCATGGTATCCCAGTAGGCTAGCACGATAAAACCGGCGTTAGTCCGGACGTGATCACGACTTTAAACCCATTTCCAAATCACCTCACCACATGTGCAAATTACCTTGCTGGGCAAGCAAAGTTAGTCGTCTAAGGTGCCGCATTTCGATGTGCAGAGTTACGTCCAAGGTCAATGCTAGTGGGTAATAATCCCCTATTCGCCGTGATTATGTTATTATCAAATCCGCCATTCTTCATCACTTCGCGCTTTCCTCCCACACAAAGTGCTACTGCGTAATATGATTGAAATATTGTCGAAACTCACTCAATCACTCTTGCCTTGTTTTATCACAGAAATGAATCTTACCTGAGGTGATTTTAGGTTAGTTTGGTTTAACGCTGTGATAAGAGGTACGACTGTTACTTTCACGTCATGACACATAAATGACCTTCACCTTGACGTCCTATATGTATCACACATGAGCTCAAAAATCACAACATCCTGCTTTGACATAAGATGTGATAACAGACGCAAAATTCTCACCTAACGTCATATGAACAAGTGTTGATTCCGGATTAGAATTGATCCTCATCACAGAATATGCAAGAGGCGACTTAATGAATCGGAGGTCAGGCTCGGTGACCTGGTTGATTGTGTGTCATCGTACCCCGAGGGCGTGAATCGTTCCTCATAATATCAGTCACTGGTAGGTTTGGTCCTGACTTGATTATTTACAGGCCGCGGAATATTATTGAGCGCAGCGTTAAATCACAAACAAGCCTAAAATCACGTCATATAGAACCGAGTGTCTCACCTTGACGTCTGCTATCATGGACTGTGGCAACACCTTCTCCTTCAGCAACAAGTCGTAGAAGTCGTCAGTGATGATGAGGTTCTTCGTCAGGAGCGTCCTGTTCCTTTCCATGAGATTCCGATACCTCTCATCCATTTTCCAAAATGTCCAAATAGTAGCTACTGCAAACGTAATATGCTTCGACTGTAGGCTTAATCTATGGCGTTTTTCCCTTCTGAAAATTGTTAGATGACGTCTGTAATTGGATTTACAAACTGTCTGAATCCCACACCTGTTTACAAATAATTGTTAAATTCTCGAATAAAGGTAACATCGTCAAAATACATTCAGAATTCACCTCACTCCTCCCTTTGAGTGAGCACGCCTAGGTGTATTAAAGCACTGTCTGTGAAAGTAAGTCAATTTCAATAAGCCCGTGTCTGTTCGCTCAGCACATGACTATGTTGCAGCGCTTCCTCCGACAGATGTGTCCGGAGATAGTTGATCACGTAAGATCACCTCACATTCTCATCAATCGATTCATGGGCTGAACGCAGGCGGGGGACAATCAGTCACATATGTGTTGTCATTCAGACAGCCTCCTCCACGATGATATGATACGTCTTAATTGATTGTGATTAATCTCAATTTGTTGCATCTTTGTCTCCTGCAACGGCTCTTGTTCCGAAACATTTAGATTACCACGGACTCATTCAGATGTGTTTGGGTACCGCGTGGTCAATCTGTTGGTGTCAGGTGTCGGTAAGGCTTGACTGGTCGGGGGCTGTTAAGATAACAGACTTGTATTAAGTTCGGAGTTAATGCTTCTTGCGATCCATCTTGGTCAGTAATTCAAGGAAATGGACCGATGTTCTAAGTGAACAAAACCTTTGTTGTCTTGTGTGGGAATGGCTAGAAGCAGAGTTTATATTAATGGTAGTTATATCTCACAATTATTTCTGACATAAGGAATATTCTCGTCTAAGTCAGATAAGTGCTTCGACAATGGTGAGCTCAGATCAGAGCTTTTAGTTGGGCTTCAAGACGATCACTGAACCTCGGACCAACTACTCACTCGTATTAGGGTCCAAAACTGCCCGGTTCAGATTCCAATAATCGGTTCAGATTTCAACAATTGGTTCAGTATCCAAAAATCGGTCCACATTCCCAAATTCGGTTCACAATTCAATCCAACAATCGCTTCAGATTCCAACAATCAGTTCTCATTCGGTTCAGATTCTAACGGTCGATTCAGCTTCCGACAATCGGTACTCATTCCAACAATCGGTTCAAGTTTCAAAAATCAGTTCACATAAGTTAGATTGTAATGTTCTGTTCAGATAATGGTACTAATCGGTTTAAGTGTTCAGATCACGGAAATCAATTCAACAATGCACCAGAAAATAACCACGTTCTGCTCATGCCATAAAACAAGATATATAATACAGTTCAGACAAACCGTCCGGTTCAGATGTAGATAATCACGGCTCCCTTGAAGACCTAACAACGAGGACTGATCGCCAACAAAACCTCAACTCACTGCGACAGATTGACGAATGTAATGCTACATTCTGACCACGCTGTCAATATACTACCATCACCACCGGTAATTTCATACAGCTATTTCCAAGCAGATAACTCTTCAACGAAAAAAATCAATGAAACGCGTGGATTCCTAATGTCCAGTTAACACGTTTTCATAATCGTCGACGATGTTGCACACCCTCAATAACGTCGTCACAGCTGCACCGTTATCCCGACAACCATGGTCTTGATACAACCGGAGCAAATAGTTTCACACGGCCCTTAACTTCAGCATTCTATACACCCACGAACCGCCTCGCCGTCTCCTAATTGTGGTATAGCCACGAGCACGTGTAGATCACAAAGCCACGCCCCCTTGTATATTGCACTGTTGACAGTTGTAATTGACATAACTGTTTGTTCAATGACACGTCGGGCCATGAAAGTCGGGGAATCGCAACGAGTATATATACTGAATATATAAGCCAACCCTTTCTATAAGTCAATTTTCGCAGCATTAAACTCGGTCAGGTAAGAAATAATTACATTAACTCGACGTTTTGAACATGCACCTTTCAAACTGAAACTCACTTTGTAACACAAAGTCGCAATGAAAACTTCTTTAGAATGGATCAAATAGACAGGAAACACGACTTTAAACGTGTATTGAATATACGTACTGCATTGGGGGTATTGCTGTGACGAGTATTACAATGCTGTATACAAATATATGTGGTTTCAGATTGCATTGATCGTGTATGATATACATAAATTATTCAACCTTCAGACAGAGTATATAACTCATATGTAACTATATACAAACCTGTCAGAAATACGTTAGTAGTTTCCCACAAGTATTGTTCCAACCAGTCTATTTCGGTAAGTTTCTTTTCCTGCCTTGCGAAACACGCATCCTAATCTAACCTGGTAGTTAAATTTTGAGAAATAATTCACCCGTGATAAATTGGTTTTGTACATGTACATTACTCACCGGTCAAACAGTCAATTAGTTTTAGAAGGGAGACGAAATTGTGGGAGGCAAAGGACGTACTTTCATCCCGTGGTCACGGTTTTATTTTGTCATGCCCGACATTATATAAAATTCAGTGTTCGAAATACCTGCCTCCCCGACCGTCCGAGACGGGTTGATTTCGACTCGGGCTGCCAGATCTTCAAAAAACCCTGCCCGACTGTCGGGTTATATTTCATTATGTGAATATATTCTAATTATTTCCCGATGAAAAGCAATAATTCACATGTAAAAATGAATGATAAAATGTAACCAAAAAGAAACCCCGTTAGCTTATCCTGAGAAACATATGATTATAGTGGGCAGGCAGGTTTTGGTCAGGGCTGGCAAGTATTTCAGCTAGCCAGTCCTGTGGTCTGGCTGAATTTTTTGGGAGTTTCATACCCTGATAAAATCAGTGCCAAAACCTGCAAAAACTGATCTTGGAATTGAGAAACGATATCTTATATCGTGACTAAGTGTTTTATATTTATTTTAATGTATTTAATCGTGTATTTGATCTTGCATGACTTCTTGTCATTGATGGTTTTCGAAGTCTCTCGTAACTGCACGTGGAGTGGCTCAGTTTTTGTATATCAAATAGTATTTTATTGTCTTTGACTTGTATTATATTGGAGATGAGACTGGAATATATCATCTGTCTGTCTTGTTTTTTAACATTTTGTTTTGGGAGTAAATTACTTTTTCGCTATTTTCTAAAATGTCTGATACTTTTAAGAAAAGTCCGTGGGTGTTACTGAAATGGTTAAAGTCTATGACCCGCTTACTGCTCCGACACATAAACAATAATGCTGTTTTTTACTACACTGAACAGAACAATGTTTATTTCTCAAATATCACACAGTGATGTAGAGAACATACATTTTACAGATAATCAAATACAAATAATATATAAGCGGAGGGATAAATATGATACTGAACAAAAACATCGGTGCGCGGTATTCTTACATACATATGGAAGCGAATATAGACATTTTTACTGGAACACATTCAGATAACAATCAACATCATTAGAGAATATACATACATTCATCATAATAAAAAAATATCTTTCACTTACTTCTGTAAGGACAATCCACTTAAGATATATTTACAAAACTTTATAAGTAAAGGCTGATATTGACAATTCATGAGATAGGTAAATTTGTGTGTAGTTGGATATTGACGAAAATAGTTAGGTAAGAAAGATTTCCGGAGATCCTGTAATTCATTACAACGTTGTTGTTAATTGGCTTCTCTCTCGTTAATCCCATTGGCTTCCCCTTTATATTATCTGTGATGTAATGGAAAGGGTTTTTAATAAAATATGATGTAGTCAAATGTTGTATTTTGTCTTGATTTTCACATATAAATAGTAGATAAATCAGCATGCGTATATATGATTTGTTTTGTTTGTTGTTTAACGCCGCACTCACCAATATTCCATCTATATGACGGCGGTCTGTAAATAATCGAGTCTGGACCAGACAATCCAGTGATTGACATCATGAGCATCGATCCACGCAATTGGGATAGATGACATGCATCAACCAAGTCAGCGAGCCTGACCACCCGATCCCGTTAGTCGCCTTTTTCGACAAGCATAGTCGCCTTTTACGGCAAGCATGGGTTGCTGAAGACCTATTCTACCCCGGATCTTCACGGGAATATGTGAACCAAGTACCTTACTTAGTATTCATCTGATGAAGTGGCAACAAATAGCCATGTAACGTAGTTAAAAAAAAGTTATAAAAGTGTCATGCTTTATGTTCTTTCAATTTCTTAATGCTTATCAAAGACTGGAAATAAATCATACTGAAATACTCTTCAATATTGCGGTAAAATCCCCCCCACGGAATGACAGTGGCCGCCGTCTGTGATTGCGGGAGTTATATCCGAGTATCTCCTTCATGGTCTATATACAGTTTCAGTTCTCCAGGGCTCGCATTTCAGTAAACCTATAGACGTTGGTGACCCCTGGAAATATAGAGGATGGGTGAAGGTGTTAACACTGGCTGACATGCACAAGATATGTCGTTAAGATTTCACGCATCTGATGGTTCCAAACACCATCCCACGTTGATCATTTCATCGTCCGAATTGTACGACCCGCATCACTTTAAGCTGAGACGACATGATAGAACGGATATACTGTTCAAACCGGAGTTATACCGTGAAGATCCGGGGTAGAATAGGTCTTCAGCAACCCCTGCTTGCCGTAACAGGCGACTAAAGGGATCGGGTGGTCAGGCTCGCTGACTTATGTGATGCATGTCATCGTATCCCAATTGTGTAGATCGATGCTCATGATGTCAATCACTGGATTGTCTGGTCCAGTCTCGATTATTTACAAACCGCGGTCTTATAGCTGGAATATTGGTGAGTGCGGCGTTAAACAATAAACAAACAAAATCAAACCGGAGTTAAACTCAACTCAACTCACTCACTCATTTATTCACTCACTCCTTGAATGAAGAACCAGTGAGAAGTAAGCACTTTCGCCAGATTAGCGGCCTCTGTTTAAATCTGTCTTCAGTGGGGCCCAACTCGATGGTTTCATAACACTCCATGGCCCTTGAGCGTGTAGTGTTCTTGAAGTTAACATTAATATTGCTTTAGAGATGTTTGCATATCCGATACACGTGGACTGCAAACACTTGACACAACACTGAGTCTCAGTATTAAGACTGGTTCACCTGTGACTTCAGGGACGGTGAATGTACTCCCAATGATAATGGTCCTAGACAGGTATATAGCACTGTTTATTGCAAGCTAAGTGGGTTTTGTCTTAGCGTGTCGAAACACAATGTTACAATGGTTGTCATGTGATGGGTGGAGACTGAAAACGCCTCCTTATACAACATTTGTAAAGTGAGCCCTGTTGGATCTGAGGAATGTTGTTAGAGTCACGTGATAGTACTAGAAGGCTCTGACTTCTGGACACTGTGCTGTAATAAGTGGCGATGGCGCAAGTGAGGTTGGGTAGAGTTCACATGAGGTTGGGTAGAGTTCACATGAGGTTGGGTAGAGTTCACATGAGGTTGGGTAGAGATCCCATGATGTTCGGTAGAGTTCACATGAGGTTGGGTAGAGTTCACATGAGGTTGGGTAGAGTTCACATGAGGTTGGGTAGGGATCACATGATGTTGGGTAGAGTTCACATGAGGTTGGGTAGAGTTCACATGAGGTTGGGTAGAGATCACATGAGGTTGGGTAGAATTCACATGAGGTTGGGTAGAGTTCACATGAGGTTGGGTAGAGTTCACATGAGGTTGGGTAGAGTTCACATGATGTTGGGTAGAGTTCATCTTAGGTTGGGTAGAGTTCACATCAGGTTGGGTAGAGTTCACATCAGGTTGGGTAGAGTTCACGTTGGGTAGAGATCACATGATGTTGGGTAGAGATCACATGGTGTTGGGTAGAGATCAAGTTGGTTTGGGTAGAGTTCACATGAGGTTGGGTAGAGTTCACATGAGGTTGGGTAGAGTTCACATGAGGTTGGGTAGAGTTCACATGAGGTTGGGTAGGGATCACATGATGTTGGGTAGAGTTCACATGAGGTTGGGTAGAGTTCACATGAGGTTGGGTAGAGATCACATGAGGTTGGGTAGAATTCACATGAGGTTGGGTAGAGTTCACATGAGGTTGGGTAGAGTTCACATGAGGTTGGGTAGAGTTCACATGATGTTGGGTAGAGTTCATCTTAGGTTGGGTAGAGTTCACATCAGGTTGGGTAGAGTTCACATCAGGTTGGGTAGAGTTCACGTTGGGTAGAGATCACATGATGTTGGGTAGAGATCACATGGTGTTGGGTAGAGATCAAGTTGGTTTGGGTAGAGTTCACATGAGGTTGGGTAGAGTTCACATGAGGTTGGGTAGAGTTCCCATGTTGGGTAGAGATCACATGATGTTGGGTAGAGTTCCCATGTTGGGTAGAGTTCACATGAGGTTGGGTAGAGTTCACATGTTGGGTAGAGTTCACATGATGTTGGGTAGAGTTCCCATGTTGGGTAGACATCAAGTGGTATGGGTAGACATCAAGTGGGGTTGGGTAGACATCAAGTGGGGTTGGGTAGACATCAAGTGAGGCTGGGTAGACATCGAGTGGGGTTGGGTAGACAGATCAAGAGACATCATGGTAGTCCACAAGGAAATGGTCTGGGACTAGAAGACTTGTGTTCATTTCGAACCCTGTAGAATGAGGCACCATACCCCAACTGCGTGAATTATTGTTCATGCTATCAACCCAGGCCATGGCTTGATCATTAAGAGGCCGCCTTGATACAGCTAGAATATTGCTGACCGTGACCTAGACAACATTGACCACGCTCTCTCACACTCATCTCCTCACTGAAATGTTAATGTTCCCACGCATCATCAAAATGGAGAAGACAGCATCATAGATGAAGAGCAAGAAAACAAATCAATCATGAAGCAAAACTCTTTATCTGTCAAACAGTCGATCATGTATACAGTACAATATTCACGTATGAAACTGTTACCGAATTCAAATAATTTTCAAAAAGTATATATGGAGTATCATTTCAGATCTATTTACCTTCCACAACCAATCAGAATACAAAAAAAATGTCATTATCTTATAAAAAAACATAATCTTTAACTTGGTTGAGGCATGCTTTATTAACACAGATGGGAAGACCATCCACAAGTTGTAAGAGTCTGGGTTAAGATGTATGTGATAATAAACATAATAAATACCTATGTATAAATTATAGATCATATGACACAATATGCCTAATGTGAAAACAATAAAGATATAAGATGTAAAAAAGATTTTGACATTGTAAACCACAAAATCTGTGGTCCTGTCATAACAGTTTTCAATCCAACTGTACTGCAGAAACCATACACCCCATGTCAGTTTAGTGTTACTGTTTTCCAATAGAAAGGCTGAAAAAGTGAATACCCAAAGTCCTGATCCACTTCATCTTCCCGAGGCAAGAGAGTTAGGAGACTACAAAAGTCCAGTTTCCAGCCTTGCTGAACCAGACTGGTATTATGGAGTTACATTTTGGCTGGACTTCTATGCAAAGACCGATAAAATCCCGCAACGAAATCGAAATCCAGCTCGTAAACTGCCATGCAGATTTCGATCGATTTGCAAAGCATGTGTACCGCCAACTTGTTGTCAACAGATATTTTCCAGATCTTTTCATGTTTTTAATCAAGGTGCTCACGTGATTTGATGCACTTCGCGATGTAAAACTCGTTTTATCACAATATAGATCTTGATTATTGATCAGATCGTCTTGACTGAGCGCGGCAATTTTGTTTGAAACAAATGCAGGTGATACGAGAGGTGGAATCTGATTGGTCCATAGGAAAGGCTTAGAAGGCACATAACTTGTAATAACCACTGGTGGCGCAACGATCGAGCCCAGGAATTCCAGCCTAGTTCGGCAAGGTAGAAACTGGACTTTTACAGTCAGTTAACCCCTTGCCTCGGGGAGATGGATCCACCTTCACCAAAAGCATGTTTATGCAATCGATTCTTAAATCTTACTTGCAATATCAATGTTTTTTCAGAATAAGATCAATTAATGTGTACAAGTGTTTCATAACTGATATAGTTCTCATAAAGGTAAATAGCTCTAGCTCTTAGTAACTTTAGACATTACTACACACACCACATGCTTCTCAAATTCTGGAGATGGTACGGTACATCAATCACTTCAGGCCTTGGCCCCACTACAGTAAATTTATTCCAATGCATCCCTTCTCCTTTAAGAAGTTTGTTATAGCACACACACTGGTTGAGTGAGGTCACAGCGACCTATACCCATCTGTTGAGAGGTCACAGTGACCTTGGCCTACTCATGACCTATCCCCATCAAGGGTCATGCTCCTTCCTGTTGATTTTCTCCATCTTGCCTCCATCAAGGGTCGTCCTCCTTCCTGCCAACGTCCGGTCTCCTGTAGATCTTCTCCATCCTCCCCTCCTTCATGCAAGTGTAGCGTGCCGCGGTGAACAGGAAGTCGCTCAGTCTGGACACATAGCAAAAGTAAAACGTTAAATATCATATTTCCTGCAGCCACATTATGTCCTACTTGAACAGTTTCTTAATCCTATAACTTCCTAAAATAAAATGCCAGAGCTCAAAGAACCAATGTGAGCCAACAATTCTTGCAAGATTGATTGTTTGTTTTTGATCGCCACATACAGCAATATTCCAGCTATAGGACGGTGGTCTGTAAATAATCAAGTCTGGGCCAGACAATCCAGTGATTGTCACCATGAGCATCTATCTACACAATTGGGATATGATGACATGCTTCAACTAAGTCAGCGAGCCCTACCACCTGATCCTGTTAGTCGCCTTTACGACAAGCATGGGTTGCTGAAGACCTATTCTCACCTGGATCTTCAAGGGGCTTCTAGGATGACATTGAGAAAGTCCCCTATAACATGTATAATGGAATTTAAAATAAAATTAACAACTTATTCACCAACAACCTCAGTTAAAACTCAGTCAAAAAAGACAAAAAGACACATTTGGTTGAGTATAAAAAAAAATAATTTAAAAATAAAATAAAAAAATATGGAAATAAAAATGCCTCATCCACACATTCAAGGGAAAATAAGACAGCAAATTAGACTGTTTTTATTGCCTGTAAAACATGAAACATGACACTTGATGAGAGATTAATTGTGTTATTACAGGAAACATGATCCTTCAGTCCTTCCTTATTAGTATGTATTATCAATGATGTTTGATGTTTACTTCACAAAGTAATACTTTTCAGATCTGACATAATATTGGACCAACCTGTTCAGGAACTTCAGAGCTTCTTCTTCAATTTCCCCATCTCTCACCATAGGCGTCACACTGAAACAGACACTCAGAGTCTCAGACCATGAAGTAGGGCCTGCTGTCACCCTTGTAAATACATCTTCCCAAGGTAAGAGACTCAACCGACTATCAAAGTCCAGTTTTCACCCTTGCCAAACTAGGCTAACGAGTCTATGCATAGTCCAATCAAAATCATGCAACGAAATTGAAATTTGATTCGTAAATTGTCATGCAGATTTTGGTCAATTACAGGATTTGCAAAGCATGTGCACTGCCAACTCGTCAACAGATATTTTCTGAATCTTTTCATGTTTTTAATCAAGGTGCTCACATGATTTGATGCACTTCGGGATGTAAAACTCGTTTTATCACAATATAGATCTTGATTATTGATCAGATCGTCTTGACTGGAAGCCGCCATTTTGTTTGAAGCAAATGCAAGTGATACGCGAGGTGGAATCTGATTGGTCAATAGGAGAGGTATAGAAAGGACATAACTCGTAATAGCCACTGGTGGCGCTACGATCGAGCCCAGGAATTCTAGCCTAGTTCGGCAAGGGTGGAAACTGGACTTTTAAAGTTAGTTAACTCTCTTGCCTCGGGAAGGTGAACTCCTGCTGAGTGGTAACCTGCAGCATGGTATCTCAGAGGGCTAGCATTATAAAACCAGCATAAGCTTGTACAAGTACAAGCAACCCCACATCACTATATAAATGAAATAAACCCCATTTCACTTCACCTCTTATGACAAGCATGAGGTACCAAGCACCTCGTCTAACACAGATGTGGAGACTGGTCACACTAAGGATCAGTGCCGCATGCTTGTCATGACAGCTCAATTCACTTCACCTCTTATGAGGGGCACGGGTGGCCCAGTCATCTAAGGCGCCGCGATTTGCTGTGCAGAGTTGCGTCCCTTGGGCCAGAAACATATGATTGTGGGTTCGAATCCCGGTTTGCCCCAATTATGTTTCTAGGTTTGTCAGCACCATACCTGTGCTCGTGGGTTTCACCGAAGTGGTAAACGTCTGAAACCTGCATCACTTCAGGCTTTCCTCCCACATTAAGCTGACACGCCGCAATATGACTGGAATAATGTTAAAAGCGGCATTAAACCGAACTCACTCACTCACCTCTTATGACAAGCATGAGGTACTGAGCACCTTGTCTAACGCAGATGTGGAGACTGGTCACACTAGGGGGTCAGTGCCTCATGCTTGTCATGAGAGCTCATTTCACTTCACCTCTTAAGACAAGCATGAGGTACCAAGCACCTCGTCTAACGCAGATGTGGAGACTGGTCACACTAGGGGGTCAGTGCCTCATGCTTGTCATGAGAGCTCATTTCACTTCACCTCTTAAGACAAGCATGAGGTACCGAGCACCTTGTCTAACGCAGATGTGGAGACTGGTCACACTAGGGGGTCAGTGCCTCATGCTTGTCATGAGAGCTCATTTCACTTCACCTCTTAAGACAAGCATGAGGTACCGAGCACCTTGTCTAACGCAGATGTGGAGACTGGTCACACTAGGGGGTCAGTGCCTCATGCTTGTCGTGAGAGCTCATTTCACTTCACCTCTTAAGACAAGCATGAGGTACTGAGCACCTCGTCTAACACAGATGTGGAGACTGGTCACACTAGGGGTCAGTGCCTCATGCTTGTCGTGAGAGCTCCGTGAAAGGGGATTGGGTGGCTAGCTATTTACCTTCGTTCTGCTCTCCGGCAGATGGCGCGTGCAACATGCAGTGAGGCGGATGTCTTCCCTCCCGACTGAAATCATTATGAAACAATACACTTGGATGCTTTTGTGACAGGCAGTGATCTAAATCATTATCTCTGTACAGAATAAAATACAATACCTCCATCATGGAATAACATTACTATTTACCTATTAACTCTAGGAATCTGTGTGGCCAGTCCACATCTTGTGAAAACCCATACAAGTTGGACAGCATGCGACAGAGCTACAGGTAAGCAGCGTATTTGCGTAAAATACCCCCCAAAAATATTCAAAACCCAATTATTTTCAATTAACTTGCGTACAGAAATGCATGCATTAAATGAAAAACTCAAATGTATAAAAACATCACGCGTAAATACCTAATGAAGCTTTTCAGCATGCATACAAAGTAGCCAATGATGAGATAATTATGCTTGATAAGACTTCGCTTTCTTATTACGGTTTTGGTTTGGTTGGTTTGTTGTTTAACGCCGCACTCAGCAATATTCCAGCTATATGACGTCGGTCTGTAAATAATCGAGTCTGGACCAGACAATCCAGTGATTAATATCATGAGAATCGATCCACGCAATGGGGATCGATGATATGCATCAACCAAGTCAGCGAGCCTGACCACCCGATCCTGTTAATCGCCTTTTACGACAAGCATAGTCACCTTTTATGGCAAGCATGGGTTGGTGAAGACCTATTCTACGTCCCCACTGACTGTCGGCACTTGATGTCTACAACGCTGACTGTCCCCATGAGGGAACAACACACATCTCATTCAGGCCACAAATCAGGTGAATAATGTCTAGGTGCTTAGGACATGCTTATGCATGGAGTACAGCACCATATAAATGGACTATTATTATCATCATCATCATCATCATCATAATTTTTATTATTATTATTATTATTATTATTATTTTAAACATGTATTTCATTAAACATTTTATATTGTTAGATAGGTTTGTTACATCTGTCAGTAGCAGGGTGTTGGGTATTTAATGAGCTGATCATTCATAAACAAGTCTATTCAGGCAATCCTGTACACCTGGCCTGGGGCACTTACAACTCAAACTGAGCCAATCACCATCACCTCATTTGTACATTTTATACCAAAACATACTCTCTATCAATAACGTTAATATCAGCAGTTCTTATGATTAGATCAAGCAGATGACTTAATGTCATAACAATATCTGCATGCTCAGCAAGTTACAACACTCCAACAGAATTACATACAGGCAAGATGAAGTTTTGAAGGGGAGGTAACTCTGCTGACAGGGCATCAATCCAGGCCTCCACCTGCTGAACGTACTGCTTGCTGAACTCGGTCCTCTCTGTGGACACAGTGGGATAACAAACATGGAAGGAAGCTAGGAGTATCAAGCCTGAACAACACCTGGAAAAGTTTAAATAGACCAAGTGTGTAGTCGACGAAGTCATCTATATCCCCCGCCCGTTTTAACACGTTATGGTCTGAAACCAGGTAACTGACCCAACATTTCTCTTAGCCCATGTCAAAATAGCTGCAATAGAAATTCTAAAATAAAAATTTCTAAAAGTGCTAAATATCAAAAGGCACCAGTTCAGTATGTGCCTGGTAGACCAAGTTTCCGTTTACCGGTAATTACCAGTTTTTTACCGGTAAATTTAGGCTTGGACCGGCAATTCATGTGACTTTCAGTCCCTGTGGACCGGCAAATAAACTACCTTATGAATACTAAATCATTGATATTCATATAAGTATATTTTTCCTCTTGTCTATTTTTAGTGCAAGGAAATAACATTTTGCTTTGCATTGAGGTTAAATATATACCGGTACTTGCAGTGACTTAGTCTCGAAATATTCAAAAACAAAAGGGAAAATTGTGACTGAACTTTGTGTGAATGACATGTAGATCTAACTATGTTACTTCAGAGATGACGTCATTGCATTGAACATGATGTTGAAAGAATAAAAACCAGGCAATTTTTTCATTCATGTATTTATTTGTTGAAAGTTGGGACTGACAAAGATTAGGTGGGACTGGTAATTTTTTAAGTTGCCAGTCCTGGTGGACTGGCTGTTTCAAAAGCCAGCGGGAACACTGTAGACATGCAAAGTTTTGTAAGAAAGTATTTAACGGTTTTTGAGTTACGCTCCGGAAACGAACACTTAAAACTGGAAACTTAAAAAATAAAACTTTCTAAAATTCCTAAATAGCAAAAGGCACCAGTTCAGCATGAGTCTGATAGACATGCACAGTTTCGTAGAGAAATATTTAACGGTTTCTTAGTAATGCTCCGGAAACGATTTCGGCACGCACGCACACACACGGGCAGACGGAACCCATTTCAATATCCCCCGCCCCAAAGAAGTTGCAAAGATTATCTGCAGAAAATTATTTTGATTTCACCCAGATAGTAAATGCAATCCTTCCCTTTCTGTATTATGTGTGTGTGTGTCTGTCTGTCTGTGTGTGTGTGTCTGTGTCTGTGTGTGTGTGTCTGTCAGCTGCCCTGCACCTTGTACCTACTTGTATGCGCTGCCCTGGCAGACCCCCTCGGTGTAGCAATGCAGGATCCCACATCTTGCAGCATACACTGGATCTGACAGGGTAAACAGTGAAGAGGCTGTAAGCCAGCAATAGGACAACAAGGATTTTCAAGTTAGAGCCTGTAGCAAGAAAAATTGGGACACAAACATTATTTTCTCGCTATTTTCTTACATTTTATAGTATTTTAGAAATTGCAATCAAATCCATAATGTAAATATTAGTATAAAAGATATGTTTCTCCTTTTTGGTTCTGTCATTAGAGTAAGTGAATATGTTTTACAGTGCTTCTAACAATATTCCAGTAATGCCATTGCAGGGTATTCTCAATTGGGCTTCACGCATTGTACCCATGTGGGGAATCAAACCCAGGCCTTAGGTGTGATGAACCAACAGCTTTACCACTAGGCTACCCCACAGACCGTCATCAGTAAAAGACAAATTTGCAAAACTAAAACAGGAGTTATTATCATAATAACCTTTGTGTTCATTTCAAGATTTAGAAATTGTGTTGGGAACGCCTACCGTCATTTGCTGTCAACTTAGGTCAATTACCGACCTCTGAGAAGTTGCTTTTCCCTCCACTGGACTATCTTAACAAAAACTCACTTCCTGTAGCTTATCGATGACACTGTGCCCTGCGTCTTCACAGTATTCACTTGCCAATCTGCAACACATTATTGTAGCAGTGGTAAATAAATATATCGCTGAACCAATTCAAACATTTCAGCAGCTGTCGGAATCCGAGGACAAACGCTAGCTGTACTTTGAGTTTTTGTTCAAAACAAGGAAGAACTTCAGAATATGAACTTCATCTCCAAAACTCAGCCTAGTCTAGTCTAATAACATGGTCGAGGTTGTGCTTATATCAATGATAGTTGTTTTACATGAGGTACAGTACCTGGTTGTTTGTCAGCCTGTGAAACGAGAAGGAGCGTAATGCTAGGTGTGTGGTTGTGATGGGGGAACGTGACTTACCTAACGTTGAACATGTCTTACTCCATGGTTGAACATGTCTTACCACTACTTGAACATGTCTTACCACAAGTTGAACATGTCTTACCACTACTTGAACATGTCTTACCACAAGTTGAACATGTCTTACCACTTCTTGAACATGTCTTACCACTAGTTGAACATGTCTTACCACAAGTTGAACATGTCTTACCACTACTTGAACATGTCTTACCACAAGTTGAACATGTCTTACCACTACTTAAACATGTCTTACCACTACTTGAACATGTCTTACCACTAGTTGGACATGTCTTACCACAAGTTGAACATGTCTTACCACTACTTGAACATGTCTTACCACAAGTTGAACATGTCTTACCACTTCTTGAACATGTCTTACCACTAGTTGAACATGTCTTACCACAAGTTGAACATGTCTTACCACTACTTGAACATGTCTTACCACAAGTTGAACATGTCTTACCACTACTTAAACATGTCTTAACGCTACTTGAACATGTCTTACCACTAGTTGGACATGTCTTACCACAAGTTGAACATGTCTTACCACTACTTGAACATGTCTTACCACTACTTGAACATGTCTTACCACTAGTTGAACATGTCTTACCACTACTTGAACATGTCTTAACGCTACTTGAACATGTCTTACCACTAGTTGGACATGTCTTACCACAAGTTGAACATGTCTTACCACTACTTGAACATGTCTTACCACAAGTTGAACATGTCTTACCACTACTTAAACATGTCTTACCACTACTTGAACATGTCTTACCACTAGTTGGACATGTCTTACCACAAGTTGAACATGTCTTACCACTACTTGAACATGTCTTACCACAAGTTGAACATGTCTTACCACTAGTTGAACATGTCTTACCACTACTTGAACATGTCTTACCACTAGTTGAATATGTCTTACCACTACTTGAACATGTCTTACCACTACTTGAACATGTCTTACCACTAGTTGAACATGTCTTACCACTTGTTGAACATGTCTTACCACTACTTGAACATGTCTTACCACTAGTTGAACATGTCTTACCACTACTTGAACATGTCTTACCACTACTTGAACATGTCTTACCACTTGTTGAACATGTCTTACCACTACTTGAACATGTCTTACCACTAGTTGAATATGTCTTACCACTACTTGAACATGTCTTACCACTACTTGAACATGTCTTACCACTACTTGAACATGTCTTACCACTAGTTGGACATGTCTTACCACAAGTTGAACATGTCTTACCACTAGTTGAACATGTCTTACCACTACTTGAACATGTCTTACCACTACTTGAACATGTCTTACCACTAGTTGAATATGTCTTACCACTACTTGAACATGTCTTACCACTACTTGAACATGTCTTACCACTAGTTGGACATGTCTTACCACTAGTTGGACATGTCTTACCACAAGTTGAACATGTCTTACCACTAGTTGAATATGTCTTACCACTAGTTGAACATGTCTTACCACTACTTGAACATGTCTTACCACTAGTTGAACATGTCTTACCACTACTTGAACATGTCTTACCACTACTTGAACATGTCTTACCACTAGTTGAATATGTCTTACCACTAGTTGAACATGTCTTACCACTAGTTCAACATGTCTTACCACTACTTGAACATGTCTTACCACTACTTGAACATGTCTTACCTCTAGTTGAATATGTCTTACCACTACTTGAACATGTCTTACCACTACTTGAACATGTCTTACCACTACTTGAACATGTCTTACCACTAGTTGAACATGTCTTACCACTACTTGAACATGTCTTACCACTAGTTGAATATGTCTTACCACTACTTGAACATGACTTACCACTAGTTCAACATGTCTTACCACTACTTGAACATGTCTTACCACAAGTTGAACATGTCTTACCACTACTTGAACATGTCTTACCACTACTTGAACATGTCTTACCACTAGTTGGACATGTCTTACCACAAGTTGAACATGTCTTACCACTACTTGAACATGTCTTACCACTACTTGAACATGTCTTACCACTACTTGAACATGTCTTACCACTACTTGAACATGACTTACCACTACTTGAACATGTCTTACCACAAGTTGAACATGTCTTACCACTAGTTGGACATGTCTTACCACTACTTGAACATGTCTTACCACTACTTGAACATGTCTTACCACTACTTGAACATGTCTTACCACAAGTTGAACATGTCTTACCACTACTTGAACATGTCTTACCACTACTTGAACATGTCTTACCACTACTTGAACATGTCTTACCACTAGTTGGACATGTCTTACCACAAGTTGAACATGTCTTACCACTAGTTGAACATGTCTTACCACTAGTTGAACATGTCTTACCACTACTTGAACATGTCTTACCACTAGTTGGACATGTCTTACCACAAGTTGAACATGTCTTACCACTAGTTGAACATGTCTTACCACTAGTTGAACATGTCTTACCACTAGTTGAACATGTCTTACCACAAGTTGAACATGTCTTACCACTAGTTGGACATGTCTTACCACTACTTGAACATGTCTTACCACTAGTTGAACATGTCTTACCACTACTTGAACATGTCTTACCACTAGTTGGACATGTCTTACCACAAGTTGAACATGTCTTACCACTAGTTGAACATGTCTTACCACTAGTTGAACATGTCTTACCACTACTTGAACATGTCTTACCACTACTTGAACATGTCTTACCACTACTTGAACATGTCTTACCACTAGTTGGACATGTCTTACCACAAGTTGAACATGTCTTACCACTAGTTGGACATGTCTTACCACAAGTTGAAGATGTCTTACCACTACTTGAACATGTCTTACCACTACTTGAACATGTCTTACCACTACTTGAACATGTCTTACCACTACTTGAACATGTCTTACCACTGGTTGAACATGTCTTACCACTAGTTGAACATGTCTTACCACTACTTGAACATGTCTTACCACTAGTTGAACATGTCTTACCACTAGTTGAACATGTCTTACCACTAGTTGAACATGTCTTACCACTACTTGAACATGTCTTACCACTAGTTGAACATGTCTTACCACAAGTTGAACATGTCTTACCACTACTTGAACATGTCTTACCACTACTTGAACATGTCTTACCACTAGTTGGACATGTCTTACCACTAGTTGGACATGTCTTACCACAAGTTGAACATGTCTTACCACTACTTGAACATGTCTTACCACTACTTGAACATGTCTTACCACTAGTTGAACATGTCTTACCACTTCTTGAACATGTCTTACCACTAGTTGAACATGTCTTACCACTAGTTGAACATGTCTTACCACTACTTGAACATGTCTTACCACTACTTGAACATGTCTTACCACTACTTGAACATGTCTTACCTCTAGTTGAACATGACTTACCACTACTTGAACATGTCTTACCACTAGTTGAACATGTCTTACCACTTGTTCAACATGTCTTACCACTAGTTGAACATGACTTACCACTAGTTGAACATGTCTTACCACTAGTTGAACATGACTTACCACTAGTTGAACATGTCTTACCACTAGTTGAACATGACTTACCACTACTTGAACATGTCTTACCACTAGTTGAACATGACTTACCACTAGTTGAACATGACTTACCCTATGGATGAAGACAGTTCATCTGTGGTTCCCAGAGCAATGAATATGTCATCATCCTTCGGGCGTCGTTCACCAGTAAATGTGGCAGAGGTTCCTGTATGACAAAATAACATAAGAAAATGCAATGCCTAAACTTCTTGGAGTTTTCTCTAGTTAATTCTCACATTACAAACAAGTTTTAAAAACATGGAATCCTTAAAGCTATTCACAAATCTTAATTCAACACAATAAAAAATGTCATACCTTTATCTCCTGTTCTGGTGTAGATCTTTGTATAGCTTCTTTGAAATTTGACACATCTGAAGCAAAATTACCTTGGGTAAAAAAGTTTCATATTGTAATTTGTTTATTGCACGAGTGATTATCAAATATCTTAAAATAATATTGATTTAAGTAAGGTTAATGTTTTATAATATAAAAGAAGCAACTTGTCTGAATCTTACAACCAGAGTCTACTATCTGTAACTATTGAATAAAATCAATCATCTATAACAATACAATATATTGACTGACTGAGCGCTATCCTGCTGTGTATGCAATTAACTGACTATTGGTCATGTGCATTGAATATCACCTTGATGTCATGCTGACAAAAATATATTGATTCTGCCATTGTCATGTTTAAATGAGTTCATTGTTGTGACATTTGTCTATAATTTTTCGGTTTAAAACTAACTGACCACTGACCAAACAAAATTTGAACGGGCCACGAAATTTAATGCACATGGGCTGAGACAGTAAATGCAAGTGAGAATAGAAAATCAGTGAAGATTAGTCCGTTGTTGAGACGACGGTCGGCTATGGCCGGTAAACTGCGCTCTTGCTTAAAACTGGTGAGCTGCTATCGGCCTAAACTAATTAAAAGCGTAAATAAACAGCTGAAGACAGCGATGGACAACCGGTGTGAGATTTATATATCAACTTCACTGAGACTAGTTGCTACCATTGTTAATTGATACGCCAGGCTTACACAGTAGCTTGACATGGTGCTTTTCGTGCCGCAGAAAGCAGAAGTGATGAATATTTTAGCAGGAGCCTCATTGTCTTAGTTGTACTATCAGGTTCGAGGAAAGCAGACGAATTTACGAATTTCGCATGGGTGCTGCCATGTTGTTTGTTATTATACTACTTCCCTTACAACTTATCCCAAAGCCATAAAAATCGTGTAATTAATGTGAATATGATTTCACATCAATTTTGCCAGGAGTTTTTTTAAGAGAAACTAAATCACGATACATATGTTCATGGTAAAATCATCTTTATGTTGCTCTTTCAAATCGGACACGATATGAAACTGACGCTTAAGAAACATATATAAAAAGGAGAAATTACTACATACCAAGCTGATTTTACTACATCGCCTTAGTTTCGTATGGCATTCGTGTATGATTGCCAAGCCTCATGTATAAAGGATTCGTTTAATAATTTGCAATGTGGGTCCCATATTCAAGATTAAAACAACAAAGTGTGTCCTGCGGTTGGCAAGTATCGCCAGAGATCGTCTAGATTAGTCTATCTTGTGTAGATCGTTTTACACCTAGTAGTATGTCGTTCGGTTGCATTTCGACTTCCGTATAAACAAATATGAGGTGATAACCACGCGTTCATCAGCTGTTGCTGTTACCACCAGGGAGTGTTGTGATCGTCGGGACTAATTAACGCCGGCAACTGGTGTCACTTGCTTTTTATTCAATCATGGGAGACATAACAGTTTCTGCTCCCGGAAAAGTAATTTTGCATGGTGAACATGCTGTTGTTTATGGAAAGGTGAGAAATGCTTCATAACGATGTTAGATATGATCTGACTTAAAGTTTAAGACTATATGTTGTCGTCTGTTTCATTTTGTCTTAAGGTCAACACTGTAGTGTTGGTCTGTTGATGGGCTATTCGTTTATTGTTTATTGTTCAACATTTGTACATTACATCTCCTTCTCCTTGGCCAGTGGATCTGACTTTTGACTTGCATTGCCATTCGTTACCACTCACCTCCTTCCGTATCCTGCAAGAAGACTCATCCCCCTATCCATCAGGGCTGGGACGAGTCCAAATTTACTACCCATTTCTGGTGTCCCCCGCCGTGATATTGCTCAAATATTGCTAAAAGCGGCGTAAAACCATACTCACTCACTCTTTATGAAAAAAAATCAAGTGTTCTTTAACTTCTGTAGTGTAGTATATTAAACAGTCAGAACTTTTGAAAACAGTTTTTTCTAAACACACATTATATTTGTGTTCATTGTATCCATGAACTGTATACTGTAAGTGTGTGTTCCAGGTTGCGATTGCCGCAAGTCTTAATCTGCGGACATACTTGCGGATGAGAAGAGGTACAGACAACTTAATCAGCCTCGATCTCCCGAACATCGCCATCAAGAAGTCCTGGACTACTGATGGCATCAAGTCACAGGTTTCCCTGCCGCTGTGTGATCCAAACAAGCCAGTGGGAGTTTCCGGAGAACTTCTGACAAAGTTAAAAGATATTGCTGGTGTAGACCAACACGAATCTGACACCAAACAGTTGGCTGTGATAACATTCTTGTATCTGTACTGTGCACTAGCGGCCCACAAGGGGTGAGTCGAGGGGCATTAGGCCCATCTTCCTGAGGCAGGGGAGTTAACTGACTATAAAAGTGCATTTTCCACCCTTGCAAAACTAGGCTGGTATTATGGAGTTAAATTTTGGCTCGACTTATCAGGTCTATGCATAGTCCAATCACAATCGTGCAACGAAATCTAAATCCGGTTCGTAAACTGTCATGCAGATGTTGGTCGATTGCAGGATTTGCAAAGCATATGCACCGTCAACTCTTTGTCAACAGATATTTTCCAAATCTTTCATGTTTTTAATCAAGGTACTCACATGATTTGTTGCACCTTGCGATGTAAAACCCGTTTTATCACGATATAGATCTTGATTATCGATCAGATCGTCTTGACTGGGCGCTGCCATTTCGTTTGAAACAAATGCTAGTGATACGAGAGGTGGAATCTAATTGGTCCATAGGAGAGGCATAGAAGGGGCATGACTCATAATAGCCACTGGTGGCGCTACGATCGAGCCCAGGAATTCCAGCCTAGTTCGACAAAGGTGGAAACTGGACTATTAAATTCAGTTAACTCTCTTGCCTCTGGAAGATGGATTAGGCCATGATTAGTTAGTTTTCATGTCCTTCTCATCCCCTCTTTCCTGGTAGCGTCATACAAGTAGATGGTACTTGTTATTACCCTGCCTGGCGCTCGGTATTAAGGGGCTAAAACAAGGACTGGTCGGCTCAGAGTCAGTATACTGTGTCTTAGTTGGGTATCGATGTTAAACCAAGGCATGGGATCTTAACTATTAAACAGGCTTAAGACTGGGCTAGTTCAAGCAGGCACAAAGACGCTAACACACACACACACACACACACACACACACACACACACACACACACACACACACACACACACACACACACACACACACACACACACACACACACACACACACACACACACACACACACACACACACACACACACACACACACATGCATGTTGCTATAGGAGTGCACTAATCTTGTTCTAGGCTGTTTCACCTCCCCTCTTAACCCCCTCATTTATGTGCCATAGTGAGAGTTAATTACAACTCACAGACAGATTGCGGTTCCCAAAGGGAGAACTGGATTAAATCAGATGAAAACCACAATATTTATTTAGGAACAGATTATTTTCAGTAAATGTTGTATGAAATGGTACTAAATATATCCTCTATTGCCTGTTAATTAAGCAATATGGAGAGGTTAGGCAGCCCAGTGGGTAAGCACTCGGTCTTACGCCAAAGGCCGTTTTTTTTTTTCCCACATGTGTAAGAACAATGTGTGAAACTGATTTTAGATGTCATTCACCATGATGTTGCTGGAATATTGCTAAAGTCAGTGTAAAATTATACTCATTCACTCACTATTTAAGCAGTAGTGATTTAGAAGCTCTGTAGCTAATTATTTCAGACTTTGCAACCGTGATAATTAGTATATTAATTCAAAGATATCAGTTTGGGGAAAATATGAGATAGATAAGATAGGACTTTATTACAGGGAAATTCATATAAAGTCTCATATTATCTATCTGTTTTCATTATGAGGCAGTGTTAAAGTATGTTGAGTGACGATGTGTAAAGTTGTGGATTTCCTTGTCTCCAGCACTCTACCAGCTATAGGTCTGAAGGTGGTGTCCGTCCAGCCGGTCAGTGCTGGCCTGGGGTCGTCGGCCTCCTTCTCCGTGTGTCTGGCGGCCAGTCTGCTGCAACTGTCCGGGATCATCTCCTCCCCAGCAGGAGACGAAGTGTGGTCGGAGGCGGAGCGCGATCTCATCAACTCTTGGGCATTCTTTGGGGAGAAGATATTGCATGGAAACCCTTCAGGGATAGACAACTCTGTCAGCACCTACGGTGAGTGAGAAGATATTGCTAGGAAACCCTTTAGGGATATACAACTCTGACAGCAACTACGTTGAGTGAGTGAGTGATATAATTATAAGATCCACTGATAATACGACCTTGAACTGATTAAGTGCTGACATCTTCATGAACGGCTGCATCTCTGTATGAGAAGTAACATATAATAGTGACAGGTGTAGACTGACAGGGAACAGCAAATATCCTTGTGCGACCCATGTACCTCATCCCAACACTTACCCAATGCATTTTTTTTTAAATCTACAAAACTTTGCGATTTTATGCAATTTGTGACCCTTTAATTCCTTTGATAAATGCACAGAAAAAATGAAAACAATCCTTAATCGATCAGAAGACTCAGCAACAAAATAATCAAGTACTGGTAGCATCTTTGGTTGTTTCAGTCATGAATAATGTAATTTGATTGGACGGCTATTAATAGCCTTGAGACATTCAAGGACGAAGCTATGGTAGTGAATGCATCCTGGGTATTTTTAGCAATAGAATTGAGATATATCCTTTACAATCGAGATGCAGTATTGCTGACTAGTGTGAAATGACATTGACCTTGACCTTTTCTGTACAGGTGGAGCAATCAAGTTTAAGTCAGGGAAGATTACGCCACTGTGTAGGTAAGCACAATGTCAGGACTTTGTTGTTGTAAGCTTTGGTTTGTTTGTTTGTTTGTTGTTTAACGCCACACTCAGCAATATTCCAGCTATATGACTACAGTCTGTAAATAATTGAGTCTGAAACAAACAATTCAGTGGTTGACATCATGAGCATCGATCCACGCCATTGGGATACACGATGACATGCATCAACCAAGTCAGCGAGCCTGATCACCCGATCCCGATAGTCGGCTCTTACGACAAGCATAGTCACCTTTTACGGCAAGCATGGGTTGCTGAAGAACTATTCTGACCCAGATCCTTGCGGATGTGTTGTGAGCTTTGCTTGGGGTAGTGGTGGGTTGGGTTTAACACTACTTTGAAATTGTCTTGCAGTGTTCTCATGGCGTGTCAGGTTAGTGGGAGGAAAGTCCAAAGTGATGCAGGTCTTTAAGTTTAGTCACAAGTATGGTCTTTACAGCCACAGGATCATAATCAGGGCAAGTCCTGAGATCAGAACCAACAACCAGCACATCCTTGCACCATTAAGGGAAGCAACTCTGCAGACTAGACCTGATGAAAACTGTAATAACATAAGAAATATAACTGATTTCTCGATAGAATGGTGTACATTTGATGCCATTGTCATATACAGAGTGCCGAAGCTGCAGATCCTGCTGGTGAACACCGGAGTTCCAAGAAGCACAAAGGTCCTGGTAGCTCGGTGCAGGGAGCGATATCAGAAGGTAGACCTCCCATCCCACCTGAACCTAGATGTTTAACAGATTGAATTAAGACATATTTTGTAGTTTCTCAGAGAAATGTAAACCATTCATGTCTAAGGAACAGAATGTATGGATGTCGACTTCTTTATTTAAAGGAACACAACGTTTCGGAGTATATGTACAGAACCACGTTCCAAACTTTAAATAATTCTAAGCATATGCTTAGGTAAACGGGAGGCCGGGGGTATTTAGTACTGATAGGTAAACGGGAGGCCGGGGGCAATTCCCATTCTTGTCTAATTTACTGAAATGTGAAATAAAAATTTACCTCTTTTCAAGGTTAAGAATACAAATGTCCAAGTAGTCAGTAGGTGAGCGGGTGAGTGTTTGCTGGACATGCAGTAGCTCAGGTTCAGTTCTCATTTGCCCAGAAAAGAATGTTAACACTTACAGATAGTCCTTTCCTATAAGGCATACGATATCCATTAGTCTATCTCTCAACTCAACACATTGTGATAATTGGGTTTTTTCTGCCACAGTACCCAGACATTATCGAGCCGGTCCTGAAGTCTATAGAGGCCATATCCCACCGGTGTGAGGAGGTGCTCGCCGAGTTGGCCGACTCCCCCTCCACAGATCTGTATGAAACACTGGAGGTAAGTCAATGTAGTGACCAACATTAAATAATAATAATAATACCGTATTCGACGTAATAAGCGCCCTGTTCTAATAAGCGCCCACGGCGATATTTGCTAATATATTGGCTAGTGAACAATATCAGTTAGCACCCCTTCCGATTAATCAATGTACACAACACTTATTTATTCGCGTATAATACGTACTAGTGTGTTATATGCACCCTTAATCATGGGCATTTCAATTCTGGAAAAATGTATCTCTCGTATATAAACATTTCAGGCTGTCAGCATAAACCAGGAAATTTATCTTTCAACTCTGTCTTTTTCACCAAAATAATATTCTAATAAGAGCCCCCTATTTCTAATTTTGAGAGCGCCCTGGGCGTTTATTAAGTCGAATACAGTAATAATAATTGATTTGTATAGCGCCTAATATCCATCGACAGTTGCTCACTGGCGCTGTGACAAAGTTAAAAAGTAATGTCTATGTACATATGCCAACAATCAGGAGATCTTTTGAAAAGCTGCAGTGAAGAAGTGGGTTTTGAGGAGAGACTTAAACGTTTCCTTAGAAGCAGAGTTTCTCAGATTCAAAGGCAAAGAGTTCCATAACTGTGGACTGCAAAAGGAGAAGGCACGGTCAGACATAGCAGAAGTAGACAGAGGCTGATACAGTAGAGTTCCACCAGAGGATCGGAGAGCACGCTCTGGAGAGTACAGGGATATAAGATCTTTGAGATAGTCTGGATAGATAATAAATACCCATGGTGATTGTGGGCCAGACTAGGTGCCCAGTTCCTCATGCTTGTCTCTCTGAAGTCAGGAGCAGACTAAGTGCACATTATGGTTATGAAGTGGTCAGACCCTCAGATTTGTCTGATTGAGCGACTTGTTGTCCACGGCTTAAGTCAGTGGTTTGCCTGGTCCAGACAATGTTATTTACAATCTGCCATGATATGGCTGATGTATAGCTGAATGTGGCATTCAACCTTTTTCATTTCTGAGAAGATTACTGGTCACTTTACATGACATAGCAGAAAGATTGCTGAATAAATAAGTATTGATTACTGTCCTCTTTTGACAGGAAATTTAGGTCACAAAGTTAGGTCACAAATTTAGGTCACAAATAACTCTGTGTAAAACAAAATGATGTTAGTGGTCACTTGGTGTCCGTTATATCGTGTTGACTACTCACTGGGCATGTTTGCCGTAAGAGGCGACTATCCTTGTCATAAGAGGCGACTAACGGGATCAGGTAGTCAGGCTCGCTGACTTGGTTGATACATGTCATCGTATCCCAATTGCGTGGATTGATGCTCATGATGTCAATTACTGGATTGTCTGGTCCAGACTCAATTATTTACAGATCGCCGTCATATAGCTGGAATATTGCTGAGTGCAGCGTTAAACAACAAACAAACAAACAAACACTGGGCACTTTCAAAGAGGCTTGTCTGATTTGCTGCAGGATTTGATTGACATCAACCAGCACCACCTGGGAGCACTGTGTGTGAATCACCCTGCCTTGGAGGAGATTGTGAGGACAGCGGCCAAGTATGGCCTTCACGCCAAGCTGACGGGGGCCGGGGGAGGAGGGTGTGCCTTCATCTTCATCAAACCAGGTTTGTAGACAGCACAGGGTGAGGGAGATACGTATATTATTTGAGAATTAAACAACTCGTGGTCATTGTTTATCGTACAACAGAGCACTGCAGAGAATAAACCATGAGGGGCGCAGCCTCTTTAAAGATGTTGATAAAGTGTACAAGCTTTAAAGATATTTACCTGTTTATAAATAATGATGACTCCCTGAATAGAATCCACCTTTGGTAATGTTAGACAAGTCCATTTTATGAACAGGGGGTTCAATTTGGCCTTTCCCACATATGCTGACCGATTGTCATATCTCTCCCACTTCTGGATGCAATCGTTCATCTACGTTGACCCAGCTACATCTATGGGGAACAGCTCTCACTAGACACTTCCCTATGATAAATAACCTCATCTATTTTACGACATCATCAAGTTGCAAGCGCATGGTCCAGTCTCCAGAAATGACGTCATGACGGAAAAATGTTTAATAATGAAATAAACCATGATTCGTTCATGATTGTCGCGTATTTATTGCGATATATTGCGTAGCTATCTTATGTACTGGGATAGTCACTTGCATGTCAAATTATATATTATCAATTCATGAACACCTTTTCGAGGTTTAATTGGTACCGTTAAGATGTTGTTACCGTCTCTCTTCATCTCACAAGTGACATACCGGTAACCAGCTCCACCGATCTTATCACGACTTCACAATATGTTTCTCACAAATAAATTTATGGGACAACTATTTTGAGAATAGTGTTGTAAGAATGGAGCTCATGACAACATAGGCAGATCCAGATTTGGGTACGATCCGCCTCCCCCATCTCCCCTATTAAAATCCAAATGTTGTGCATTGTTGCAATACAATTATCTGAGAGGATTTTGATATTTTGGACCCCTCCCTTTTAAAAACGCTAGATCTGCATTTGAACAAAGCAATGGCATCGATTGGTACAGGGTATTTATCATAAGGAAATGAAAAAATAATCCACTGAGAGAGTGAGTATGGTTTTATGCCGCGTTTACCAATATTCCAGCAATATCATGGCGGGGGACACCAGAAATGCGCTGGATGAATAAGATGCCAATTAAGTACCAATTGTGTTTGTTCTTTCAGACACTCCATTGACAACACTTGCAGACATTAAATCAGAATTTGCGTCCCAGAAGTTATCGTGTTGGGAGACGAGCGTGGGATCTCCCGGTGTCACTGCACATAGTGGGGACGATGGGCACCTGAAGCAGCTCTTCTCATGACGGGGCTAACGTGGGTCAGCCTGGTACATGTTGTACAGAACCACGTTCCAAACTATTTAAATAATTTGAAATCATTGTATGAAAGGTATTTTCATTTTCAACACAAAGTTTTTCAGGTATGGCAGTGAGGTGAGGTGAAATGGGGTTTAATGTCGCGTCCAAGATTATTGCACTCTTATAGCGACGTGCATGTACGTGTGTGTGTGTGTGTGGCTGCTTGTACTAGTCCGGACTGATGCCGATTTATAGTGCTAGCTCACTGAGATACCATGCCGCAGTTTAACATGAATACCTCACTCAGACACAGTATACTGACTCCAAGCCATCGAGTCCCCTTAATGTCAAGCGCCAGACAGGGTAACAACAAGTACCATCTTTTAGCGTCTTTTGGTATGACGCGGCTGGGAATCGATTCAGGTATGGCACAGAGATGACTTGACAATGACTTATGATGATGAGTGAGTGAGTGAGTGAGTGTGTTGGGTTTTACGCCGATTTGATGAAACCACAAGCACGGGAATGGTGCTCACAAACCAAGAAACAATCAGGGCAAACCAGGATTTGAACCCACGGTCATATTTTTCTGGCATGCCCAAGGGGCCCAACTCTGCACTGTGAATTGTGGCGCCTGAGACATGTAGCCTGTGGATGGGTTGGATGGTTTCTGTTTACCTGGCATAAAAAGCCAACAGAGTTTGACCGTAGTGTTTGACTTACTGTGTTTCCAGTCAAGTAACAACCTTTCAATACTTCAAACATTTTATGTGGGCTATGCAATATGGACCGGTCAATACATTCAAAAGTAATCCACCAACTGATAAGTTTAAGTTCCTGACTCTTATCTGTTGTGAAAATGCAAAGTATTGGCAATTATGTTTGAAGGTTAGTAAGATTAGTAGTTATGCAGAGTTGTCTCCCTTAGCCTTGACAGGACCTGCTGATCCCGTGTACTCCATTCACAGAGATTATGATCCTTGGTGTAGCAGCACCATTGCTGTTGTGGGTTATGCTTGCGTGGACTCTGACCTGTTGAGACACTACAGCACTAAGTTGGTGATGATGAGTTAGTTGGTGATGATTCAATCCATGCATATCACATCTGGGGACCAAATACAGCTTGGGGTTTATAATTACAGTGTGTTTCAGTGTGTACAAAACAGTTCTTAGCTTCATTCATCTTGTAAAGGGGGCGGTCGGGTAGCCCAGTGGTTAAAGCGTTCGCTCGTCATGCCGAAGACCCGGGTTCGATTCCCGGTACATTGTGTGAAGCCCATTTCTGGTGTCCCCCGCCGTGATATTGCTGCAATATTGCTAAAAGCGGCGTAAAACCATACTCACTCACTCACTCATCTTGTATAGTTACGTGTATGTATGAGAAATGGTGTAATAATACTAATAAAGATAATAAAAATAAGAAATGGATATTTGTAAAGTGCTTAAGTCCTTCTGTTGAAGCATGGTCAAGCTTCTAACAATATTATTACCCCAGTCAAGTGATCAGAGTGCACTCAATTCTTCTTTCTCAGCTCCCTGGGGAGTATTCAACAAAAGCTACATGTGAGGCGCCAGCAGGTTAAACGACACATTACTATCTCCCCCTACTGGGGCCAACCTGACCATTCTGTACGGTCATACAAAACATCATAATACAAACATCTAACAGCTTTTTCTGTCTTTTAATCAAATGATTGCAAAATATAAATGCAATTAAAACATATATTACACGAATGTACAGTTATATAAAACAAATAGCACATTTTTCAGCATGCATACAAGAGCTTGAAGGCTTCGCAGGTCAGAATCAGTGTCAGAAATTTGGGAGGTCTTGAGGATTGTGGCTACATTATTGGAACCTAAGGACCCACAAATGTATGGACGTTAACATTAGGAAAATGACAAGGACCCTGTGACTAGCATCCTGAATTTAAACACGGCACAGTAATGATCAGTGAAGCACTTACATGAAAGTACTCCGTGAAGATTCTGGGGTAGAATATGTCTTCAGCAACCTATACTTGCTGTAAAAGGCGACTATGCTTGTCGTAAAAGGCGACTAACGGGATCGGGTGGTCAGGCTCACTGACTTGGTTGATACATGTCATCGATCCCAATTTCGTGGATCGATGCTCATGATATCAATCACTGGATTGTCTGGTCCAGACTCGATTATATACAGACGGCCGTCATATAGGTGGGAATATTGCTGAGTGCGGCGTTAAAACAACAAACCAACCAACCAACATGAAAGTAAACAAATAATGATTTCCTTGATTTCTGTTTGTTTCTTTAATGCTGCACTCAGCAATATTCCAGCAATGAGACGATGGCCTGTATATAATCGTGTCTGGACCACACAATCCAGTGGTAGATATTCTGAGCAACGATCCATGTGTCGGGAACAATGACACCGAGTTTGACAACCTAATTCATTTGGTCGCCTTTTACGACCGGCATAGATCGCTTTGTACCAATTCTAACCCAAAATCCCTACGAGAGTCTTGACTTTCTAGGCCATAGCAGGCCATAGTTTACACAGTCAGTTCTCCACGGGTTTTGATTTCATCCCCTATGAATACATACAGCAGCTCTGCAGTGTAATCATTATATTTAGCCAACAACTCAAGCCACATCCGGTTCTCAGATCACTGAATGCACAAACGATGACATTACTTGTGCAAACAGCTGTGATATTGCTGGAATGATGCTTAAAGAGGCGTAAAACTATACTCACTCACTCACTTGTGCAAAGTTCATGCACTTAGTTCCCTCATGTCACTACATGACCAAATATGGACATGTAATTACTCCCCCTGTAGCAACCTATGTAGTCATGAGTGAGTGAGTGAGTGAGTGAGTTCGGTTTTACGCCGCTTTTAGCAGTATTCCAGTAATATCACAGCGGGGGACACCAGAAATGGGCTTCACACATTGTACCCATGTCGGGAATCGAACCCGGGTCTTTGGCGTGACGAGCTAACGCTTTAACCACTAGGCTACCCGACCGCCCCTCGTGGGTGATGAAGAAACAGTGTATACAAGCCATTCAAGTACTGACTGATATTTTACCATGTGTTACCATGGTTACAAGTCAGGAGTGTTGCATTCTGGGATGCATCATGTAGATGAGGCAGGAGCTGGGCCAGCTGCAGTAACTAGCCTGACTCAAGACTAGTAAAGGAGTCAAGGGCTACTAGCCTGACTGGTTACCATAATCTTGCTAAAAAATATATATTTATACCTCACAGACAAGAAATTTTTGATGATATCTTCCGTTTTTGCACATGTTACTTGTAGGGCTGGGACGGGTAACTCGAGTACTCGGGTCGGGTGGGTACTGAGTAGGACCCGGGCACCCACTAGACTACCTGGGCCTGTGGTTAGTCACGTGATACATTGTTTAATGGCAAAATTCATCTAAAACTATGGTTACAATACAAGTCACTAATGTTCCCATTTCTTTCTGACTACTACGCCTATTCCTTCTGACTTTTATATCTTTGAATAAAAAAACTTTAGTCAACTTCAGTGTATACACCAGATCGTTTCATACATGTATTTAAACACATTTTACCAGAGCTACGGTCAAACTTTTCCCAATTGGACACTTTGTACCTACCTCTTTAGACCTACAGTGGATACCGGGCAGGGTCGGGTAATAGGGGTTGGGTACATGGGTAGTAAATTTGGACTAGTCACAGCCCTAGTTACTTGTGATTCACAATTTGGACGGCGAGTACTTGAAGCACTTGTCATCAGAACATTCACTTTTCACGCGCCATTCAGGAAAAGAAGAAAAAAGAGCTAGATCATGTTCACTGTTTTTGTCTACTAACCTTCAAGTAAATTCTAATGTTTGGCTACATTGTCTGCCATTGCCAAGGTAACTTTAAACTAGTATTGAAACAAAGTGAATACTTCATGTTCAAGAAGGTCTATTGGTCATTGGCCATGAAAATCCTGTAACTACAGAATGATGAAACTAAAGACTAAGCTGTTCTAAGTCTCGAGTAAAAGCCTTGAGTGAGTGAGCTGGAGTTTGTGCAATATTTCAGCTATATCGCGGCGCACTGGCTTCACACATTGCACACATGTGGGAATCATCACCAGACCTTCGTCATCATGAGCAAATGTTTAAATCACTATACCCAGAGACCATATAATAGATCTATTATATGGTCTCTGCTATACCCCAATGTCAAATATAAGCTTGAAAGGAATGCTGAACCTTAAGTAAAACTTTTAATAAAATTTCAACCTAAAGTGGGAGTTACATTTCAATATATAACTTTCTAAATGCAAAATAGTTTCTTAAGATAGTAAAATAAGGCTTAGAAAAATATTTAAAATTGGTTCTCGGGCAATGACTTTTGAAAATACAGTTTTGGGGTTTTTCTTTGCTTGTTCAAACTAGTATGTAACCAAATAAACAGTTGTGTACCATCTACCTGGGAAAGGGCCTCTCTACATAAACAAGCCTACAAACTCCTATTGCTGCCATGACCATAACACGAGATGCGCAGTAAAGCAGTGCGCATGCAAAGGGAAGTAACTGCATGCTATATTGGATCGCATTGTTTCAAGGATCAGGATTTTTTTTTTAAATATCTAAAATGGAAATAAAAACGAAACGTGCGGCGGAATTTATGATGACGCGGCATTGTCTGAGAACCAAGACTTTTAATCTTTTTAGCCCAAAACAACATTTGTCTCTCCCAACAACTGGTATTACTCCATTATCACAACGCTAAGGGCAGGCTTTGAACCAGGCTTTAGCTGGTGTCAACAACACCAAACATGTCACGTTATTCACATAAGTCTGGCGGTTAGGTGATCAAGGTGTCTTAACATGTTGTGTAACTATGGTAACATCACATAGAGTCAAAATACAATCAATCTTCAACAAACATTTGATTTCAGCCAGTGGACTGGAAAGTAGCACTTTAAATAAAACATGGCACAAAACACATGCAATGTAACAGGTCTTGATTTTCATCCTCAAATCCAAACTCTGCATAACGTGCCATTCAAATTCAGAGATACAAACTTGAGAATAATAATGTTGAAGGTATATATACTTCATTTCATAATCCAGCAGTCTACATTTCGTAGTTACAAAGTGTTTGTGTCGTGGCTCTGAATTACTACAGGGTACAGGCTGGACTACATCGCACTGTAACATCACTAGGAGCAGTCGTACTTGATTCCGTTTGATTACTCAACCACCAAGCAGACACTAAAGTACTCATGGAAATGAAAAAAAACTGTTTTGCTGGATTTAATAATCTACACAAAGCATTACGTAGATGTAAATACGAAATAACAAAACAACTGGAAAAGTACTAGTCTGGATTTGCTAGTTTTATCTCAGTGCTCAATACAAAATGTACTTTACAGGAGGTAATTTGTAGGCACTTTCAACATTCAAAAATAAAACTAAGTCCAAATTGACATGGCAGAAACAGGCTATATGCATTATGCAAATTAGCCTGGAAAACAGTAATCAAAACAACAATAAAAATAACAGCTATGTTTATGTACATAATAATAATGACATGTAAGTTGTTGTTTGAGAAGGGAATATGTTACTTTTACGTTCTGATATTTTGACGATGATTCACTATCCCACAATGCCACTCACAAATCACTAACCACTGACAAATCACATGCACGTGGGTTTCAAGCACCTGTTTTCACCTGTCGTCAAGGTGTCATAGGTCATGGACATTCACCTTGATCTACTAACACCTGGTTATGCTCAGTTCCACAATAGTCTGTTTTGTTAATATTTTTACACACTTTTACGTGTAAAAAGACATAAAAACCTTTGATACGCTGTATTTGTGCCAAGGCCCAATTAGTACTAATTGGGTTGTTTGAATATTTATATGTTTTGTATATTAACTGCATTTATATAAAATCTGAGATCGAAAAAAAAGGTTTTTTTTCATTTCCGTGAGTACTTTAGCAGTAGTCGTCACACAGTCAATCGAGTCACTGTTCGGAGCAAACACACTTATGACCAATCATTTTCATTCATGATGCATAATGTATACAATAACATTTGAACTTTGGAACAAAACTCAGAAAGTTGAAATTCTGTGTATTCCTATACTTTGCAACTTTGAGGCCGTGATGATCGTGAACGTAAGATTTAAGATATGATTACCACTTCTATGACAAAGAAATGACTCATCATTAGATCGCTTGAAACAGGGTCATTGTTTTCGAAGAAGTGAACAATCAAAGTTGACCTCTGAAAGTTGACCTCTGTTATTCTTAGGTCTTAATTCGTACAGCAAGGATTCAATATATCCTTCACCTGATTACCAAATCTAGACTGCAATACTCATTCAGACATGATCATACAATTGCACTTCATGGTAAGTGAATCCTTCACTCAAAAATATAGCTCTGAATGGAAGACCTATTGCCTGGGGATAAAGATCCGCCTCTCGAAATATGGCAGTGGGTCTGGAACACTGAGATGGATTACATCACAAATCCCGGGATCTACGCCAACTTCTCATCACCCTCCTCGACCTCCTTCAAGTTGATGACCTCCAGCTGACCTCGACCTTTCGTCTCCGTACGGATCAGCTCGTCGATCTCGCGATAACATCCCGGGTCAATCTGAATAACCTGAAACACAATTGTGAAAATGTGCCTCCGAGTCACTGATCATTTTTATTATCATGAATACTCATGTGTTGGATGAAGACACTTTGTCCCTTATTCCCCATGCTTATATTATGTGTAATGATAATACTTAATTTAAGGTGACAGATGCTGTTTCAATAAGCATCAGAATATGGTGAGGTGGGATGAAATGAGGTTTGACGTCGTGTTTAAGATTCAGGGATGTGAAATCTTCTCGGAAACGCTGAACATTGCATTTTTTAAAACAGTAGTGCTCGGGAAAAATCATCTTCCGCGTAAAAATACAATCAAAGATTTTAAAAAACACTATGAAAAATGTTATCGAAAACCGGACAACCGTCGCGGATCGTCCTGTTTTCGATCAGAGCTTTCACCTCAGATTTTCGGACATCATACGTTTTCTATCACGAATACTTGCACTATAACATGGGGTATGGCATCACACAGAAATTGTAAATACTCAGATGATGGCTTGTTTTCAAGATAAAGTTGTCTTTTAGCCTATAAGTGAATGAGATGTTTTACAGTTGTTCATGTGATTAGCAAGAAAACTATGAATATTTCTTCAGCGTCTGAAAACCCATAACACAGGGATATATGTTGTATTAATGTCTTATGTTTGCAATGGAGTTTTGTTTTTTTCAACAAAAGGTAAGTAAGTACAAGGTGAGTTTTTTTCAATATGCTTCAACATGGGGAAAGGGTCAGACATTGCACGCTTGTGACAGTTGTCCTTGTGTCTGGGGGATGGGGGGGGGGGTGGGGTGAAGTCTATGGCAGTTTTGCCCCCGGACCTGGGTGCCGTTGTACAAAACAACCTTAGCACTACGACTGTCGTAAGTCTATGTTAAGGTATGGGAGTTACGATCACCTTAGCGCTAAGATCGCTTTGTACAACGGCACCCTGGCAGGTAGCCAGGTGCGCGGAAGCTATGCCCAATTTTTTAAAAGTACTGATTCAACTTCGAAATTTTACTGCATTTGTCATCTTTGTTTATTTGACTTGTTGACTTTTGCCATTGACTTTTTACATTTCTTGGTGTGAATGTTGTACAAACTGCACGAAATTGCTTAAAATGCAATCAAATGTTCAAAAAATTTCCCCTAGACTTTTCCTCTTTTTTCGGGAAAACCTGCTTACATCCCAGAAGATTATTGCACTTATATTATGTATTAAGTGACTTATTAATATCACGCCTCAATGAAATTGACCAATCAGACAGCAGAACTGCTAACCCCATATGACTCCCTATACCATCAGTAAAAATCCAAGATGATTGTTGCTGACCTTAGGCTAAAAAACATAACAGCCTCGGTTCTCAAGCACCGCCCGCATCATCAAAATGTTTGCCACACGTTTCATTTTTATTTCCATTTGTACAAAAAAAAATTAAATCTATAAATATTAGTCCACGGGTAGTCAAATACAGTATTCCAGTGTTTTACTCATCAAGGAATATTTTTATGTTGGGAGGTCCTTTCCCATGCTGATTGTACACAACTGTTTATTTGGTTGCACAACCGTTTATTTGGTTGCACAACTGTTTATTTGGTTACATACTAGATTGAACAACAACACAAAAAAAGACACCGCCCACACTATATTTTCAAAAGGCATTCCTGACAACCAAATCTTTTATTTTTTTAAGCTTAGTATGAGACTGTATGCAGGTGTTATTAACCATCTTGGATTTTTCACCACCCACCTCACATGATAATTCTTGGACAGAAATTCATTATTCGACATTGTTGTGTTTTTGTTTCATCAATTGTGATGTGTAAGGACATAAACTTTTTATTAAATCATGTTTGTGACTTCATTGATAAAGTTTATAATTACCATTTTCAACAAGATTTGGCATCTAAGGTTTGAAGAGTAGTCTCCCTTTGACCCTCAAGGTCAACGGTTGTACATGTCATATCAAGATGAAAACTTGACACTTACAACCGTTGACCTTGAGGGTCAAAGGTTGTAAGTGTCAAGTTTTCATCTTGATATGACATGTGCAATAAAGATATCAGTGAGTGAAAAAAAATTGGCATAATAAATTTGTCATGGCGTCTTTAGTTGCCATATACAGTGTCATATAACCTCAGCAGAAAAATATTGCCTGGTTTCTGCTAACCTGATATTACACCATATACAGCAACTAAAGGCACCAAAACTAATAATGTGTATATGTGGGTGTGGCTGCTTGAACAAGCCCACTGAAACACCATCCTACAGTCTAACATGGATCCCCACTCAAAACAGTGCACTCCCAGGAGCCAGGCCCTGTAATACTGATTCCCTTCCACAAACTACCATCTCCAGCTCCACACACTGCTCAAGATACTATGACACTGACAGGAGCCAGGCCCTGTAATACTGATTCCCTTCCACTACCTACTATCTCCAGCTCCACACACTGCTCAAGATACTATGACACTGCCAGGAGCCAGGCCCTGTAATACTGATTCCCTTCCACAAACTACCATCTCCAGCTCCACACACTGCTCAAGATACCATGACACTGCCATGAGCCAGGCCCTGTAATACAGATTCCCTTCCACTACCTACTATCTCCAGCTCCACACACTGCTCAAGATACTATGACACTGCCAGGAGCCAGGCCCTGTAATACTGATTCCCTTCCACTACCTACTATCTCCAGCTCCACACAGCTCAAGATACTATGACACTGCCAGGAGCCAGGCCCTGTAATACTGATTCCCTTCCACTACCTACCATCTCCAGCTCCACACAGCTCAAGATACTATGACACTGCCAGGAGCCAGGTCCTGTAATACTGATTCCCTTCCACTACCTACCATCTCCAGCTCCTCCCCAAACTCATCTTCTTCCACTTTAACAGCAAGCTTTAGTACTTTGGTTCTCAGCTTCTTTCCCTCTCTGGCTGTATAAAAATAAACAAAAGTATATAAAACCCTGGCACACTCCTAAACTCTGTTCAATGTAGGGCTAGGTTATCTGTAGGCTAACCATGCTAAATTGAAGTTCAAACGTGTTGCAATAAGAGGTGGTTATTTTTATTTGAAGGTAGAATTGTTCTCAAATGAGCTGAAATGAGGTGGGGACACGTGTAGTGGCATAATTCAGTGTAATATATGATTCTGAGTTACATCCCTTAGTTATGCCAGGATCCACTGGTCTTATGTTCAAATTCCAGATTATGATCCTAGGTCTGTCAGCATTACCCGTTGGCTCATGAGTTTCACCAAAGCAGTCTTCAACTTTAGCCAATAGTCCGAAGCCCTAGTCTAGTAAACAGTTAGTTCAGAAAGCTTAGCTAATGAAAGTCCATATGAACACAAAAATGTTCTAAATATTATGCAAAGAGCCATGTTCGGGTAGTAGATTCAAACGTTTTGGCGCAGACTAAATGTATATCCCACATTAAACTGACACACAGTTTTTATAAACCAAAAAATCAGGTTAATAGTCTTAAATACGAACTGGTTTTGTAGCTGTAGCTGAAGAAATATCTAACATAGTACAAAATAGTCGGTCCTTTAGACATCTTACATTTCTTAGGAATATCCAATCATGCATATCTTCATTATGACCCTTGGAATTCATTTTGACTTATTTTAAAGTCCTTAGGGCCAGGCCAAGATCAGAAAAGGTCATGAGTGACCTACATACAAGGTCAAGGGCACAGTCATGGTCTTTAAGTATGTTTGCCATTTTCTGCAGATTTTTTTAAAATGTTAAGCACGTAGAACTTGTGATATTATTTGAATACATGTCATGTCAATGGTTAAGACCATCCTCAAGGTTATAGCTCGAAAAAAAGGTTTGAAAATGAGACATTAGGGTTTGGGCCAATATAAGCAGATACAGATACTGATAATCGGCATGTGGGGCAGGAGATACAGGAGTGAGTGAGTGAGTTTGGTTTTACGCCGCTTTTAGCAATATTCCAGCAATATCACGGCAGGGGACACCAGAAATGGGCTTCACACATTGTACCCATGTCGGGAATAGAACCCGGGTCTTCGGCATGACGAGCGAACGCTTTAACCACTAGGCTACCCGACCGCCCCTAGGAGATACATGAAATCAACTGTAGCAAGACCAAGTATCTACCCGGTATTGTCAGCCTGATGCGCATCAACGCTCGTTGGATCTTCATGGTCTCAGATTCAGTCAGTTGTTTTATCACTTCCAAAGCCTGAAAATATTAAAATATACATCAGATGTAATTACCTGGTAGTTGAATATGAGAAAAAACTGTTCACATAATGATCCCCATAATATTATTTTCAAGGAAGACAAAGCACATAAACATGATGAAATAATTGCACTGCAGCTGGCAAAGAAAATACTCAAAAGCTTATCAGAAAGTGTTGCAAAACAAACAAATTCCTAGACCTACTGAAAGGCTGTGATAGCGATTTCTACTTGGCACTCTAATGACAGAAAATACATTTCCAGTTTTACTTTTAGTCAAAGAATGTGACATGGACTAGTTCAGCACTTCAGAGTGAGTGAGTGAGTGAGTTGGGTTTAACGCCGCTTTTAACAGTATTCAGTTATAGCGCGGCATGTCAGCTTAATGTGGGAGGAAAGCCCGAAGTGATGCAGGTCTCAGACGTTTACCACTGCGGTGAAACCCACGAGCATGGGTATGATGCTGACAAACCTAGAAACATAATGGGGGCGAACTGGGATTCAAACCCACAATCATAGGTTTTCTGGCGTGCCCAAGGGACGCAACTCTGCACAGCGAATCGCGGCGCCTTAGACGACTGGGCCACCCGTGCCCCCCAGCACTTCAGACTAGAGAGTTTATAGTGAGCCATGCTGTTACGCCATTCCTGCTCTTCAGATTTCAAACTACTTGTGGTCATGGGGTTACATTAACTCTTTCTGTAAATTTTTTATAGAGGCAGACAGTTTTGTTTTCTACACAGAGGAACCACCTGGAAAGTTCCAAGACAACAATGTATTTACTGAGATTGTATTATTTATCAAATGTTTGTTTGTTTGTTGTTTAACGCTGCACTCTGCAATATTCCAGTAATATGAACTCGGTCTGTAAATAATCGAGTCTGGACCAAAACAAACCAGTGATTGACATCATGAGCATCGATCCACTCACTTGGAATACAAAGATATGCATCAACCAAGTCAGAGAGCCTGACCACCCGATCCCGTTAGTCACCACTTACGACAAGCATGGATTGCAAATGACCTATTCTGACCCGGATCTTCATGGGTATATATATCAAATGACCCATCAGAATCTCGGAACTGTTCAATGTACTGAAAAACTCACATTTCTCCAACTGTAGAGTGTGACATGGGCCCAGAACAAGTAAGCTCTGCTTATTGTTTTAGGTTTTAGGGGTGTGAGTTAGTGATGGCTTAATACCACTTTAAACAGTATTTCAGTTATATCATTGCATGTCCGATATGAGAGAAACCCTAAAGTGATGCAGGTTTAAATACTTTAGTGAAACCAACAATCACAGGTATGGTGCAGACAAGAATCACACTCAAGGTGAATCTGGGATTCAAACCCACAATCATTGGATCCTTGCACAACTAAGGGAAGCAACTCTGTATAACAACGATGGTATAGCTCAGGTAATGATAATGAGGAACACTTTATGACTCTGACAGACTACTCACCTGTTGTTTTGTTCCTTTAGAAGGCTTCACGGACACATGCAGGTCTCTCATGCCTTTCTCAATCATTGTCACGGTGTATGGACGCTTAGTCTCTGGGTTTACACACTTGTCAGCAACAATGGTAGCGATGTCTCGAAACATTGATTCTAGTTGAGCTTGTCTCTCTTTCTCTGTCACCTGCATTTCTCCCTTGGCAAGAATCTGGAATGGCATTGAAACTACAATCATTTACATGTGTAAGGCTTATAAAAATAAAAGATTTGGTACTCAGGCAATGGCTTTTGAAAATATAGTGAGGGCAGGGAGAGGTGTTTTGGGGGGGGTTGTTCAAGCATATATATAACCAAATTTTGTTTACAATAATTCCAGCAATATCATGTTGTTCTTTAGTATTGTAGTATTTAAATTCCGGGGTCGTGTGTTCGAGAAGTGAGATATTTAAAGAATTTACTTTTTTTTTTAAATGGAAACAAAACGAAACGTGCAGACGAATTTATGATGATGCGGGCGGTGCCTGAGAACCAAGACTATTATTTTTTTTTACCCTAAGTGGCATGTAAAAGATTTAGGATCAAAGAAAACCGTGTTGACATGTGGACATAATAGATTTAAACTTTTATTTTATTTTATTCTTCCAATTTGACATTTGGATACATGTGCAAGTACCTTTAATTATCAAAGAAGCAGTCTGTGAAGTTATTAGTGTTGACTTTTTTATTGATAAGAATTGACTGTTTCTGCATTTTTGGAGTTATAAATGTTGTTTTCATGGACAGAACATGTTACTTTTGCAAAAATGCATACCGGTAACTAGAACAAGAAAGGAGTTTGCATTACATGCAAAATTAGACACAGTACCATCCCCACTATTTCCTGAAGAGTCACAAACTTTCCCATCACAAACATGTTTCATGAACCTTTTTGACTTTAAAACACATGAAACTTGACTTCAGTTTGAGCTGTGCCTCCAGCTACCATAAAAACAAAGTTATAAGCACTTCCAGTTCAATGACCTTGAACTTCAACCCAAGCCATGAAAAGCCCAAAGATCATGAAAATGAAGTTTTGTCAAATTCCAATAAAAAGTACTCAAGAGTTCATCATAACTGATTGCAAAAACATTTGATGTTTAAGTAAGTAATCTGAAATGTCTTTTGATATGACATCTAGTGACCTTGACTTTACATATAAGTCACTGAAGGCCCAACCTTAGACATGTTAGAGATCATGTATGCTATGTTTGGTCAAATTCCAATAATTCATACTCAAGTTATCTCGAACAAAAGTAAGCTTGATGCTCAAATAACACTGAGTGGCCTTGACCTTCATCCAATTACAAGCATGAACATTACTTGTTGCAAACTTAGGTTGCATTATAAACATGAAGTCTCAATATCAAACTGCTGAAACAAAATTTCATGAGTGAATGACCTTTAAAACGACATATGTCACAGCCATGACATAAGACAGGTATTGAGTTAATTATGGAGTGTCAATCAATCATGATTGGAAAAGCCTTAAGACTTTTCATGTAACTGTCCGAAAATTTATGAATAAGAGATCCACCTGAGATCACCTTGAGAATATTAGACATGTTCATGATGTTGGAATACATTATTCGGAAGTTACTATTGCATGTTCAGTGACTATGTTGAGGGCAGGAGAGATTATATTCTGCATATTGATTCAGCTCAGTGACACATGTTAATACATATAAATAATGTGATTACCTGTATACATATCTCAGAATGGTTATCTATTCCAAAGATCTTCTTCAGGTCCTCGGTCTTAGCCACTTCTCCTTTAGAAACATTGGTGAAAACTGTGTGAGTCTGAAGCACTTCATCAATATCAGTTTCCCTGTAACAGAAACCAAACAGTTTCCCTGTAACAGAAACCAAACAGTTTCCCTGTAACAGAAACTAAACAGTTTCCCTGTAACCATGGTAACAGAAACCAAACAGTTTCCCTGTAACAGAAACCAAACAGTTTCCCTGTAACAGAAACCAAACAGTTTCCCTGAAAATCTTAAGTCACTAACTTGAAAACTTCATAATCATCAAGTAAGATAAGTTTGTTTTGTGTGTTTGTGTGTTGTTTAACGCCACACTCTGCAATATTCTAAATATATGACAGCGGTCTGTAAATACTTCAAAGTCTGGACCAAACAATCCAGTGATTGACATCATGAGCATCTATCTTCGCAATTGGAATACAAGGACATGCATCAAGTCAGATAGTCTGACCCCCGATCCCATTAGTCAGGTATTACAAGAAGCATTCGCGTCTTATGATAAGCATGGGTTGCTGAAGAACTATTCGTACCCAGATCTTTATGGGTGAAGATCAGCTTGTTCTAGTCCTCTAGAAACCTATGATTGTGGGTTCAAATCCTGGTTCGCCCCTATTATGTTTCTAGGTTTGTCAGCACCATACCCGTGCTCGTGGGTTGCACCGAAGTGGTAAACGTCTGAGACCTGCATCAATTCGACCGCTTTCCTCCCACATGAGGCTGACACGCCATGATAAAACTGGAATACTGTTAAAAGAGGCGATAAACCCAACTCACTATTATATATACTATTATAACCTTTCTGCTGAAAAAAATGCCAAAATATAAGCTTCGGCAAGTAGACTCAAAAATTTGTGGCACAGACTGATAATATATCATGATATATTGTTTGGCATGAATACAACAAGCAACATTACCATTCATCATACAGTTATTTGTCGACAACATTTGCCGAGTCTTCACGACATTCTTTCCATTTTCAGTCATACTATTCAACATACATTCAACACAGACAACATTCAGACAATAAAAGACAACACTCTTCATTGATGCCAACTTAGTCATCTAACTCAAAATTCTGTAAGATCTTTAAATGTGAACATTGTGCAAGAATTGCACCCGCAACACTGGGTCTACAACGGATTTACAACAAAATTATGCAGGTATGTAGAATATTAAATTACCCATGTGAGGGTGTAAATGTAACTGCAAATATTAGGTTTGAAAAACAGACAGTGCAAATTGCATACAAAAAGAGCTTTTTACAGAACACTGAAAAAATTTGTGAATACTACACAAGAAAAGAAATAATAGTGAATGGTGATGGCCCTATATCATGTATATATATATAACATGTAAATCAATTCTTAGATTCCCACAATCTAAACATAGAGATTTTAAAACAAGTGCAGGCTTCCAATCTTGATTAATTTAGGATAGTAACATCTGGATAGTGACAAAAGACAATTCATCATTTGATGCTGAAATGTATGAGAAACTCTGGGATGTATGTATCTCAGTTGAGTGAAGTATATGTGATGTAATAGGCGCCTCATAACTGGCATACGCAAAAAGAGATTTTATGAACACTATCCATTATGGCAGAAAGTCCACTTTGGTGTTCATGTTTGCATATTTTCTAAAACATGCTTAATGATTCTCGGCAGAGACCATATAATAGATATTATATATGGCGATTTAGCAAATGTCAAACATAGCGATATTTACGATGAATCTAATTGTCAGAGGTTGTATTCAGTAATTTTGCTAGGGATAAAATGACTGGAGATGATATCAAAGAACAGAAAATATCCTGGCGAATTAAAAACTGCATTACATGTTTGTGCGTGATTTATTTTTTATAGTTTTATTCAACTTCAAGGTGAGGGTTGATGAGAGGGGAGATACGTCCTTTCATAAATATTCAAAAAATAAACTTGTAACGCTGTCAAACTATACGAATCCCTGGGCAATGTCTTATTGATATGAGTATCAGTATCAAATTAATAAAAAACAAATACGTACACTTTATTTCTCCATGACGTCACCTTATTTGGGTAGCAGGCTATCTCGAATCGCTTACCACCCTTCTTCAGTCGAACAGTTGCAACGTTTGTCAGACGTTTCTGGTTTGCAGGTTGCTTTACTCGAGACATGGTGGGCTTGCTTACGGGTGACGTTAATGAGCAAACTAATGGTTACACGAAAACTCGAAAAGTTTGCAAAATTTTCTTTGATTTCAGTAACTTTTGCAATAACCGGAAGTAGGGACCAAATTGTGGTTTTCAGAACTGAAGAGCTGTGTAAGATTTACCAAACAACTATTTATATTAAATCTAGCAGACGTAGCGTCTGCTGAATCACCCACCTCACAATTTACCCCCCGAAGGCCCGGTATCGATACTTCATATATAGGTACAATGTATGAAGCGCATTTCTGGTGTCCATCATGATGTTACCTGGAATATTGCTAAAAGCGGCGTAAAACCAACTCACTCACTCACACCATCATGAGCAGGAACTGCGACAGGTCACAGGGAGCGGTCTAACTGTGTGTCATGCAATACTGCACATGTTGGTCCAACCATGTGTAGCAGGGCGTGGAGTCATCCCACAGATGACATCCTTACCTTGTCAGCTTGCTGACGGGGTTAACCTCTTTGGTCATGTGGACAAGGCGTCCGACCTCGGATCAGAAGGTCCATGGTTCGAATCCCATCACGGGACTCGGAAATTTTATGGCCGCTACATTGGCGCCCAACGTGGGGCTGAGCACGTTCATATTAAATTTGAGCAAAATAAGCCTCAGTACCCTACTATGCGGCCCGGGACGTTCCTTCTGTTGACGGGGGAGTATGGTACCATATGTAGCAGGGCGTGGAGTGATCCCACAGATGACATCCTTACCTTGTCAGCTTGCTGACGGGGTTAACCTCTTTGGTCATGTGGACAAGGCGTCCGACCTCGGATCAGAAGGTCCATGGTTCGAATCCCATCACGGGACTCGGAAATTTTATGGCCGCTACACATGCAAGATCTATATAACTACAAGGCAAAAGAACATACAGCAGTAAACTTTATTTAGATTTCCGATTCTCTCAATCACACTTGGGTATATTTATATTCCCAGTGAGACATTCAATCGACATTTTAAGAATACGGAAACCGAATAATTTCAGTATAATGGGTTTATAACGTATATATGTAATAAAGTATATGTTGAGAACGAAAGTGAATGTCGGATTTCTTTTTGGCTGAGTGGGCTGGGGTCAACTGATAGTCAAACAAATTTTATTCAAACGCCGTTTGTTCCAATCCGACAAACGCACACTAAGGTTGTGAGACGTTTATTTCCGCCAATAGATTAGGAAAGTAATACTTTGACACCCTGAAATATGTGGGGAAAAGTAGTTAGTGATGCGTACAGAACATAGTATCTTGTCATCAACGTCACAGAAGTAACTATCAGTTTCACATGACAAATAGGGTTTACTCTTATATTAGCTGTTACACAGAGTGTCACAACATACCCAGCATGACATCTGAAAATAAACATATTATAAGGGTAACGCTATTTTTCAGGGCATTATCATTTGCAGAAGCCCGAGGTCTTCCATTAACTGCCCGACGAAGGAGGGCAGTTGAAAAGACCGAGGGCTTCTGCAAATGATAATGCCCTGTAAAATAGCGTTACCGTTATTATAGCTAAAATGGACGAAATTTGTTATCAAATAAAAAGAAACAACAATGTCGATTTTGAAACATTTACTGCAATCAACACGAATGTCACTGACCCACTTTTACAAATATGGAAACGTCATAGAACAAACCAGATGACGTCACTATTGAACGTTACGTCACCTATCCCTATCCTATGACGTCACCTAACAACGGGCGTGATAATGGCCCGTCGTCAAGTAATATGAGGGCATTATCAAGTTACAGTGGCCCGCTCATTTCTGATAACATGCGGGCGTTTTTATGATAATTCTATCCATTTTAGCTATAAACTTTTATAACAACGAGTAATACAGCTATACTACTTTACACACACTTTATAATATTACTCCCGTGTATGACATACAGTATATTACACAGAACTAATCACATTAAACATAGCCTATTCTCAAATATAACACTTACACTCTTTTCTAATTCATGCCAGAATAAAGAGATAGAAAGGATATATATTATGAATTACAAAAGCTTACAATTAATCAGCATAGTTTACCACGTGTTTTTTTTAATAGATTATACCTGATTAAAATCATTTTAAACACTGTTAGTTTACTTTAATATTACAGGTTTAATAAACTGCAACATTTAATTGCAATACCACGTAAACAGATGGTAATTGTTATCCTACCCTGCTCGGCATTAAGGGGCTAAAACAAGGACTGGTCGGCTCGGAGTCAGTTTACTGTGTCTGAGTGGGGTATCCATGTTAAACTGCGGCATGATATATCTCAGTGGGCTAGCGACCCGTGAAGATCCGGGGTAGAAAAGATCTTCAGCAACCTATGCTTGCCGTAAAAGGCGACTATGCTTGTCGTTAAAGGCGACTAACGGGATCGGGTGGTCAGGCTCGCTGACTTGGTTGATGCATTTCATCGATCCCAATTGCGTGGATCGATGCTCATGATGTCAATCACTGGATTTTCTGGTCCAGACTCGATTATTTACAGACCGCCGTCATATAGCTGGAATATTGCTGAGTGCGGCATTAAACAACAAACAAACCAAACAAAATCAGTGGGCTAGCACTATGAAATCGGCATCAGTCTGGACAAGTACAAGCTGCCACACACACACACACACACACACGCACGCACATCGTTTTATATATAAAACGATGTGCGTGCAATAATCTTGAACGCGACGTTAAACCCAACTTCACCTCACCTCACATAGGTACCCTGGAAAGGGCCAATCATAGTGACTTTGGTTACACATAGAGGCCCTGGTTACATCGCATAACCCTGAGTCTGTTTATTTCCTCGCGCAACATCAATACATCGGTTGAACTCATACACAAGTAGTTTTAGGATACTAGCATCCGTGTTGACATTGTAAATTGTACTTCCGGTCTGGTTGCAATTGACATTTTGTTGATATAGGAAAAGAGGCAAAAGCAACCCTACAAGGATTAACATGGATGTTGTAGACGACAGCAGCTAAAATGAGCATTGATACACAGGAGCGAGGTCCCCCCATCACCATCAATGAACTAGTGCAGGTAGGCAGACAGAGTATGATGATATCTTAGATGGATGATGATGGAGATGTTTTGATTTAGCATTACGATCTATTTTAAAAGGTGGGTCCTCGACAGTCAGTCAGTGTATGGTGACGTTTGTCAGTTTGTTATGTCGGTGTAATATGGACGGTATATTATCCAGTGTCTTTTCGTGTAAACATGATTGTAAATGTAATTTGTATTTCTTCTCGTAGTATCATCCTAACTATTCTAAGAGTATCGTATCAGAAATAGATCCAAGGGCTAAGGATAGAGTTTGGGGTTACTATCCTAACACCACGACATTTGGATGTGTTCAGCGCCAATTTAATATAACCTAATAAACTATTCCTGTGCAGAATAATGAAAAATAATGAATCGAAAAAAAAAATATATGTGTTACTGTATTCAGGTAGGCTATTAGTTCCCATTTATCATCATTTTAGCCACTTGAAATACGAAAAACACGAAATATAAAAGATATTGACAATAAAAGTGCTTTCATAAACTAGCGCTTGCTATTAAATGCGCTGCCGCAAGCTATGTTCAGTAAACAAATATTCAAAACTCTTGTCATCACTGGGAGTATACAACATGTACAATGACATACAATGTAGATGATGGATCACTGGGAGGAGGTTATACACACTTGATGACCCATGATGTCACAGGGCATTGTTTTGCCAGTGCGGCTGGCACCAAAGTACTACAAATTACATCATAGGGTATCATGGGGTATTGTCATGTGTTTCAAAAGTTTGTGGTACTGTATCCTAAAGGTGATCCTAACATCAATCTTGCAAACAGGGTTTTACCTGAAGCAGTTATTGCGCCTATGCTATATGCAAAGAAGTTGAGATAGGAAGCAAATAAGATACAAGATACCCGAAATTTTATTTGATGTCAGTTATTACAGGTAAAAGTATGATAATTAGCTCTTGAGAGCGATATATTCCCCAGTGAAAATCCAGGTAGATTACTTCAGCCACCTATGTTTACTGTAAGTAGCGAATATGCTTGTTGTAAGAGGCGACTGACATGATCGGGTGGTCAGACTCTTTGACTTGGTTGATGAATGTCATCGTATCCCAATTGTATAAATCGATGCTCATGATGTCAATCCCTGGATTGCTGGTCCAGACTCGATTATTTGCAGACCACTGCCATATTCCTGGAATATTGCTGAGAGTGGATTTTAACAACAAACAAAAACAAACTTTAGAGCTATTTGTCTGACCAAATAGGTTAAGTGATAAAATGTAAAATAACGTCACTGATGTACTTTGCGTATATGGGAAGCTAAAACATATTTACAGTGAAGTAGTGAAAGGAAATAGAATATCCACGGGAATCATTTATCATACCGACATATAGAGCATTTTTATATGGGGTCTGACCAGAAGCCTGCAGAAATCTCAATATAATTCAACTTTACGACCATTATTTCGGCAGGCAACTCCAGTCCTTTATGCAGAGCTCCAGATAACTTTTTAAGCAATTGAGTTTTACTCTAGGGTTTCTATTTTAATTGGGTTATTACATTTTTCATTTGGTAACCAATATTTTTTCACTTATCTATTCATCACTTTATTGGGGTTTTCCAAAATTAGTGAACATTTTAAAATTTAAAAAAAAATGAAATAATGTTTTAGATGTATATAAGGGTTCTAAATATATAGGCTTGACTCGAAAAGTAAAGTACAGTAAACAATGTTTATAACGAACACGCTGATATTGAACTGACCCATATGACAAACCTATATTTTAGTGTAGACCATTTGTTGCATATATGCTGTATATATGCTTATCACGAAATACGATTATTATCCCCCGCGGGGGATATAGTATTCACGACCGTCCGTACGTCCGTCCGTACGTCCGTCCGTACGTCCCACCTGTTTGTTGCCGCTGTATCTCAAGAACTAAACACTGGATTGTCTTCATATTTGGAACTATGGTGTATATACAGACTCCGCAGACACCAGTCGGTTTTGGTGACCTTGACCCCATTTTTAAGGTCACAGCAGGCATATCTGCTTTTGGAGTTGGAAAACGGTGTTGCCGCGATATCTCAAGAACTAAACACTGGATTGTCTTCATATTTGGAACTATGGTGTATATACAGACTCCACAGACACCAGTCGGTTTTGGTGACCTTGATCCCATTTTCAAGGTCACAGCAGACAAATCTGCTTTTAGAGTTGGAAAACGGTGTTGCCGCGATATCTCAAGAACTAAACACTGGATTGTCTTCATATTTGGAACTATGGTGTATATACAGACTCCGCAGACACCAGTTGGTTTTGGTGACCTTGATCCCATTTTCAAGGTCACAGCAGACAAATCTGCTTTTAGAGTTGGAAAACGGTGTTGCCGCGATATCTCAAGAACTAAACACTGGATTGTCTTCATATTTGGAACTATGGTGTATATACAGACTCCGCAGACACCAGTCGGTTTTGGTGACCTTGATCCCATTTTAAAGGTCACAGCAGGCAAATCTGCTTTTGGAGTTGGAAAACGGTGTTGCCGCGATATCTCAAGAACTAAACACTGGATTGTCTTCATATTTGGAACTATGGTGTATATACAGACACAGCAGACACCAGTCGGTTTTGGTGACCTTGACCCCATTGTCAAGGTCACAGCAGGCAAATCTGCTTTTGGAGTTAGAAAACGGTGTTGCCGCGATATCTCAAGAACTAAACACTGGATTGTCTTCATATTTGGAACTATAGTGTATATACAGACACCGCATACACCTGTCAGATTTGGTGACCTTGACCCCATTTTCAAGGTCACAGCAGGCAAATCTGTTTTTGGAGTTGGAAAACGGTGTTGCCACAATATCTCAAGAACTAATCGCTGGATTGTCTTCATATTTGGTACTATGGTGTACAGGCGGGGGATATTTCGTCACTCTGTGACAAATACTTGTTACAAACTACAATAAGTGGCCCCTTTGAGTTCATTATAACCGTAGTTTACTGTAGCTTGTATTGTGTTTCGGAAATTAGCTCCTTTCTACACATGCTGGAAAAAGCTTCATTGGGTATTTACACATGGTGTTTTTATACTTTTGAATTTTTCATTTAATGCAAGTTAATGGAAAGTAATTGGGGTTTGAATATTTAGGGGGGGGGGTATTTTACGTAAATACCGCCGATACACTGCTTATCTGTAGCTCTGTTTATGGCCTTATGAACAAATGAATTTAGGCCAAACTAAGAAGTTGTTGAGGCAACTCAACTTCCTCTAGAGTCGGCCTAAGCATGTGTCCTTCAAAGGAGATTTAACTGATATTCCTTAACCATGTTAACAGAAATAGATTTTGGCAAATCCATGCCAGATTTTCTTCACTCAAACGCCAAGCATTGCTTGTGATTCCAACATGGAAGTCTCCATGTATGATAGAAGCATCACAAATGCTTTATACTTCTGTGTTGTTGGTACAGCTGTTGATCATTTCGTATCATGGAATATTTGTGCTTCGGATGCTTTGTAACTCTCAGATCGTTCCGTTACCTGGGTTTGCTTATATAGCATTATATGTAATTGTTCTCAACCATGTGTTAACAATTTTGCAGATATAGTTACATAAAAAACGTCACAGTAATTTCCTAAGCATGTTAAGATAATTGATTGGAGCCAAGTTCCGTGTTAAAATGTGTTACTAAAAGTATCCACTTCAACACACGCATGATAAGCGTGAGGCACTGTCCCACGTTTTGCTTATGGTTAGTGTTACTATTGCAGAGCTCAAGATAACTTTTTGAGCAATCAAGTTTTTACCCTAGGGTTTCTATTTTAATTGGGTTATTACATTTTTCATTGGGTAACCAATATTGTTTAGCTCATTCATCACTCTGTTGGGTTTTTCAAAAAATTAGTGAACATTTTAAGATTTAAAAAACATTAAATAATGTTTATGATGTATGTAACTGTTCTATATATATAGGCATGATTCGGAACGTAAATTAGCTCATAATTGTATTTCGGAAATTAGCTCCTTTGTACGCATGCGGAAACAGCTTCATTGGGTATTTACGTGAGCTCTTTTTATACGTTTGAGTTTTCCATTTAATGCATGCGTTTCTGTACGCAAGTTAATTGAAAGTTTTGAATATTTTTTTGGGGGGGGGAGGGGGTATTTTACGCAAATACGCTGCTTGTCTGTAGCTCAGCTATTGTGTGAACCTCTTGGTAGATTCTCCAAAAGCTGTAACTGGCCAGGTCAACAATTATTGTCAGGTGTTAATGGAATTTCCTGTCCTAAAAACATATATTAATCAACCTGGTTAGGAAACAACCTAATGGATACGAAACTACCAGGATATGAAATGACCTATTACTGTTTGTACAATGGTCACCCAGGGACCCTTTTCATGCCAAGAACCCCTAGACAAATAAGTCCCTGTGACTCACAATTAGATAGACCTTGGCCATGTTGGCCTGGTAAATCTTGCCAAGCAAACACAACTACTGTCCTGACATAGGGCTTAGTCATCCTGACAATGGTTTTCATTTGAAAGATCATAGCGGTCATTTGGCCTTTATCATGTTTATGTTGAATTACAGTATCTTAACAAAGAAACAAACTTCAACTGTGAACATTTTACATCTGTCTTCAAAAGAACAAAATTTCCATCTAATTTGTTATGAGAGAAGGCGGTAATAAGTGCTGCACTTGTGCCCAATCCCTTTGTCTTTTTGGACAATGAAATATGTTTAATAATAATAATTAGTTAACACACAATTTACACACAATTAACACACAATTCTGAGTGTGATATGCCATATGCATCCATGTCTGAAATTCTCTGATTTTCGCTTGCCCTGGGTTTTCCAGACAGTCAGGGACTCACTGACCATGTGTTCTGGAGTGACCTGTGAATGTGCCTCACAACAGGCCAGCTCGGAATGTTTAAGAACATAGAACTGTGTTTGACTCTCTGCCTGAACTACCTGCTTTACCTGACAAAGCCCAGTCGGTTATCAAG